AGGTGCCCCAGTAGCTGCTGGCAGCCAGAAGCACAGGCTGTCTGTCCCTTTCTCCAGACCTTTTAGCAGCCCTCAAGGGGAACTRTCCATCTGATGTTCTCCCACTTCCTGACTCTGATAAAGCGTGTCAGTGACCTCAGATAGAATCTAGAACTGCTTCCTTGGTTGTGGAATAGTGATGTGTTCATGTGTATTCAGCTGGGATTGACCAGGAAGCGAAGCTCTGGTGAGCCCCAGTTTGGTGCTGTAACCACCTGAGCCCACYGCAGAGTTTTGATTCATTTTGTGTCGTTCAAGGACTTCCAGCCTCAGCCTCTTCCATGTGCATCTCAAAGGCATTAAAAGCCCAGGTACACCAGAGAGAGCCCTTGAACATCCCCTGTTTGCAAAGCCTTTCTGGTCCTTCTGCAAAGAGGGAGAAAGTTCTTGAGTGCAGGAGAAGAGCAGCTGCTCTCATCCACTTCTCAGTGTCTCCAGCATTCACTCATCCCTCGTCCACTTGCGAGGCACCTCCGCACTCCTGTGACCTGCAGAGACTCCCCTTGATTGTAATGGGATTTTGAGTGAGTCCAAGTTTCACTCRAGTGTTTCCAAGCAACTTTTGCTGGAGTGAGGCTCCTCAGCCTCTTTTGCAGTGGGGATTTGTCACTTTTCAGTTCTCCATATGTAAAATCGGGTAACCTGCCTTGCAGAAGCTGAATTTTCTGCTGTCCATTCCTAGGGAAAGATGTCATTCTTGAAAGTGCCCAGCAGTTCCTCCTCGACCGTCAGTCCATCTTTGGGAACGACCTCATCAGCTTGCCTGAAAATTCATCACTTTATGTTCCATCTGAGAATATGGCTTCCTACATGTCCTCTGTGGGTGTCCAAGGGGATATCCCTCTAAACCTCAGCTCTTCAACGGACAGCAGTCAGTGATTTAGCTTCCAAGAAACAGCAACTCCCTCCCACTCATCCAAGCATCCACAGGTTTGAATGTAAAGAAACAAAACTGACTCAGAAACCTGCAGGAGAGTTTCTTTAGTTTCTTTCTGTGCCCTTTTTTTTTTTTTTTTTTTTTGAGTAGATGGAAATGGTCAGGAGCTGTTGCATTACCCTCCCTGCACCTGGATTTCAGTGTTTTTAAAAACAGAATACTGCTTCTGGGGCTTGCTCCGAGGGAGAGTGAGAACTTGGCACGATTTTTTTTCCTTGAAAATGCTTTAGATATTTAAAATCTTTTAATAAAATTTAAGTGAAGAGTAGCTTGAAAGTCCATATGGGACTTCATAAAATAGTGATCCTGACTASTGCCTGCAATGGTAAACTGTAGGATTTTATCAGGGCAGCACAGATTAGCTGAGATGCTTGACCCTTATTGATACTGTGTTTTTAATAGGARCATAGTTCTACATGCCAGTCCAATGCTCTAAAAATGTTTTTTAATCCATTTTCTGCATTTGATGAGATACACTTGTGCCTCTCCCTGATTCTCCTAGGGTGAGTAGGAACAAGATTTTGTGGGGTGTGTAGAAGATTGTTTTCCGAATGACCCCGCCTAGAATGTGCCTCTGGCTCTTAGGGGAGCTGCAGAACATCACAGGCCACAAAACATCCCATGCTGAGTTGAGAGCATTTGTTGTTTGAGATTTGTTTTGCCCCAAATTAATTTTCTCTTGCATAAAGGCAGGGCACTCCATACTTAAAAAAATAGAAAAGGGATAGTCTTTTCTGCACACACAATTTTCCATATGCAGAGAAGACCAACGGAGCACACTCTGGGTTTTGGTGCTGGCTAGGTATTCCATGTCCAGTCCAATGTATTTTTTTCCTTGGCTTTGACCTGTTCTATTTCTCCTGAAGATGTGCCTGTTGGTTTATTGATGTATAAAATCTAATTAAACAATTTAATTGATTGGATCCCCTTTTTAGGAGGACTCTCAGCTGCTCAGTGTAGGAGAGAGGCAGAAGGGTTAGTCCACCGTCCCACAAACTTTTCTTCTGTCCTTTGTGCATCTGAGACCAGCCTCAAAGGCTGAACTAGCCTTCCCCATCCATGGGGTTTCTGACAACTGAGTTTCTCAACAAAGCAGAGCTTTGTTTTTTATGCTGTAGTTCTAATGAGAATGTATTATTTATCTCAATATCTTCTACCTGAGTTCCTTTTCCTTAGGAAGGTTACCCAAATGCAGTAGGACAGACCCAGGAAATTCCATTAACTCAGGCCTCCTAAGGGCTTAGACAGGGAGGTTTAAGCTGTGCCAGTATCATTTGAAGAAATGCTCTGCCTGCCTTCATTGCAATGACAATTCTTGGTAATGAGCTGTATTTCTGTGCATTGTGGTCATGCAGCATCCACCCCAAAATGTAGCTAATCAGTCAGATGAGTGCAAGCTCAAAATCTCCTCAATAAGATGAGCGTTTTTTAAATGGACCTTCCTGTCACAGCCCTTTCCTCCATCCATTTATCACCATGTGAACAAATGTGTTAGTTCAGAAACATTCACTTTTGAGCACATTTTTGCCCAGCTGATTCCTGTGCTGGGAGTTCTGTCACTGCCTTGGTGGTGTGCTCTGTGCAGGACCGAGGTTGAGAGAGCTCCTGAATTAATCCCGACCGCTGTTTTTGTGTTCAGGACTAAGGGAAAATTCCAGCAGCCCCCACTGGTATTTAGATGATGTGCTTGAGTGTATCCTGGACAAGGTTTTTCTTTTTGACAGATTTGTGCTTAGAAAGTTCACCTGCATCAGCCCATTTCCACCCAATTTTGCTCTTTCCAGCAATGGAAAGTCRTTGAGTTGCACTCTGTTTACTTTTCTCATAGGTAATTGAAAACTGCCTGGTGTCTCCGGACACCGACAGTGCATGTTCAAGATTTACATCCTTCTCTGAACTTCCACACTCTAGGCTGCTGTCATGTTAACACTGAATGTATTGATCCAACAAGGTATTTAAGCACATGCTTAACTTCAAGCTCCTGCATAGTTTTCCTGTATTTTTATGAAGCCTGTCACATACTTGAGGTTGGGCGTAYGCTTGTGTCCGACTGGATTGTCTGGTTGGGGTTGAGAAATGAACCCCTGGGGAGAGCTGTCCGCGGGCAGAGCCAGGTGCAGCTCGGCYCTGGCTCCATCTCAGGCTGTGTCCTACAGGGCAAGCTGCAGCCTGTGCTGGCGGGGAGCAGCCTCAGGAGGGTTCTTGGGGTTTTCTTTAGGCTTTTTGCTCTACTATAAACACGAGATTGGAGCTTGATGGTGAGAGAGGAACCGTCAGGAAGAGAATTCGGGAGCCACTCCTGTGAAGAAGSAAGCTTGTGTTCCTTGGCTTTTTACATTGTTAATTTTACTTGAAGGTGATGTGCTGAGACTGCATTTTTGCACTATGCTGTACATTTGTAAAGTTTTACAGAAGACTCTAATTAAACATGTTTCCTTTTACTCATTTAGTCCTGCTTTGGCATTTCTCTCACTCTTTTTGTCTATGCATTACTCCTTTTCTCCTTCCCAAGTCCTCAAGTGAAAATGGCTTCTAAGCATTCAGGAAATTCCCCCGTGATCTCATGTAGGGCTCAGTGGTGGGCTGTGGTCACTGTGAACACACAGAAGGCGGAGACACCTCCCATGTAAAATGTGGCAAAGWAAACACAGCTTGGATGTAAAACAAAGTAAACACGCTGCTGAATTCTTCAAACTAAAATGACGGGGTGGATATAGCTGGTAAAATCAAGATCACAGCAAAATAATCTATAGTTCTTGAAACTACTTGCTGCTTTTTTACACCCCTTTTATCCTATTTTTCTTGCTTTCAGTGATAACAGAGCTCAAACGTCACTCTTGTAATTACATTTTTAAACTATTTGTTTGCATAGTGTGGTCATTACTGCTTACTCATTTTTAGTGCAGTAAGCAGATACCAGGACAGTCACTAGAACACAGCATGATGGAAAATGCAAACCCCAAAGTCCTCAAAAAGAGGGGGAGGCCTTGGCAGAGCTTTCTGTCAGGAAAGGAAGCAGCTGCTTTTTTAGGATGGAGCTCATACAGGTTGGTGACAGCATTTGCAGCTTTCTGAAGAGCAGATTCCTGTGCTGGTGCTTTCGGGTAACCCTGTTCTCCACAGGCCCTTGGCTTACCCCTGCCCTATCCTGGAGGCCATGGCTTTTACCAGCATGTTTTAAATCATGCAAGGTGGAAAATGGCTGAAATTTAAAGCAATTGTATTGTCCTCTCTGAGGGATTTYACAATTATTCTGTGTTACTGTGAAGTTCTGGCTCTCTTGCCACCAGATGGCACCTAAACCCAGCTAATAGGAAATGCATCTTTTCAACAAGCCCACAGTAATATTTTATTTCTTTAAATGTGCACACTGACAAGAACTGTTTCATTCTATTTATTACTAATTATTAGAGATGTATAGAAACATGAAAAAAGACATTCACCTAAACATGGTTATACTCAAAATCCGGATCCTAAGGCACATCTCAGTGAAAAACAGTAAAAGCAGCAGATGCAAGTGTATGCTTCATTRCAGATGCCCTAAAAGGTAAAATCAGATTTTCTGTGAACGGATGCTATTTCTGCATCTGTTTTGGCATAAACAATCATAATGTCAAGGAATATTAGATCAGTAAAATATCCCATCAAGAAGCAATCTCCATTTGCCATTGGAGTCCCTCTGCTTTGACATACACTGRTATGAACTTGAAATAAAAACCACCAAGTTAAAATAGATGTGTTTACAAATAGAACCTTTATTTAGTTCAAATRACAGACACATTGAATTGTGCTTGAAACTACAACTGTAAAGAAATTCTAATATATAAACATTTAACTAGGGTGTTTCTAAAAGAATGCAAAGGCACAAATAGCACAAGACTGGAATTTAACCTCAAAAAAGTAGTCGTCAAAGTAGTGAACAGGCAGCTACCCTGAGGAGCTTGGAGCCACAGGCAGTGAGTTTTGACATCACAGTGTTAGGTCAGTTTAAACTAATGATCCCATTGCTGGCTTTGGGATTTTGGGAACATTTCCATGCAGTCAGCCAGACACTGTGCTCCAGATTTTCTGGCTTTGTTCCAAGTAATTAATTCAATCAACTCTCACCATCCTTGTCACCTTGTTCTTTRTGAGGACATCCTTCCACCTCAGCCACACCCTGTGCTTCTCTGTCACTGCCATTCCCTGTTAAAAGCACAAAGGCAAAAGGCAAATGAAACTYACTCATGGTCTTTGATACTGAAAATAGAAACACAGAGACAAATTTTTTAAAACCATTTAAATGAAACTCAGTAAGAAATCCTGTGTAAAARAAGAGGAAACATTTTAATTCCTAATTTATTAGGATTCCCACATAAATAAAAGGAGGAGGTAATTCTAACTAACAACCTTCAACAGGAGCTGAACAAATCCTTAGTGTGTCTGTGCCATTCCCATTTTCTCAGTGATTAATAATTTCACTGTAATCTTACCATCCTCTTCCCTTGGGTCATCTGGTTGATGACAGACGGGTGACAACAGTAGATGATCCTTGGGCTCAGTGATTACCTCTTGTATCAAGGGTTTCATAGGGGCTGCCTCTTTATCTTTGATCTCCAAGCATCTTTCTGAACTGTCAGGCTCTGTAAAGAGGCTTTCAAGAAGGGGTCTTAAGTGGTCCTTTTCATTCTGTTTATGGTTCTGACATACATTTGAAAAAATTGCTCTTGGAACCTCTTCTGCTGAATTCTCAAACAAGCTTCTATTGTTTTCCTCTAATGCAGAATTGCTGTCATTTGTCTCTTCAGAAATTATTTCAATCATTGGGTGACAGTCCTGCTGTAAAGGTAGAAATATAATTGAAAAGCTTTTCTTAGACATAAAAGCTAAAGGATGGGTAAATATCTCTTGGACTCATGTAGCAGTTGTCAGCTTTAATGGCTGTTCTCATAAAATATATGGAATGTGTGCTTCACCCATAGCTCTGCTGCTTTGTGCATGACTCTTAGATTAGCAATTTCTCAGGCATCAGCAATGAACTGACCATAAACTAATTAAYAGCTCATAAAAAGAGCAGATATTTCAGCAATGTGTGGACTCTGTTCTAATACTTTACTCTGAACAAGGGAACCTGACCAACATCTTCATCTGAGTTCAGCTGAGAACCGAGTAGCTTCRGAGCAGCACAGCTAACACATCCTCCTTCACTAATCCTCTTTCCTTGCCTGCTTTTAATTGGAGGCTTTGTTGGCCAAGACATTTTGCCGCCCTGTTACGAGTCTGTGATCAAAAAAGCAAATCAATTCCATGCYTTACACTGACTGAAGGAAGAGTTGGCATTAGATTGGAAAGACTTGTAAAAACATGTACTGTACCAGCCTCTGTCTCCAGCAAGACCGGTATGATTCTGTGATCAGCATGACAATCAAAACTGTGCTTTTAATCTTTGKTGTCTTCTTTTTTTCCCCTTCTATTTCTGCTTACAGGCTTGTGCCTAAAAGATTAGTTTGAGCAAAGCAAAACTAAAAAGATGGACAAGGAGTGGCATGCAGTGGAGAGGAGGAGTTTCAATCTCTCTGTGATTTCAGTTGAAAATTCAGATTTCATTTAGCAGCAGGCAATTTGCACCATATTAGTACTGGTAACATATATTTTAAAAACTAATTGTCAGTAGAACACTACATCCTATTAAGAAATTAAACTTATGTAACTGTTGCATTACTGATCATAAGTTTTTATTCTATTTTTGCAATACATGAATATAAAAAAAAATCAGATTAAAAAATTATTTACATGTATATATGAACTGCTAAAATAATCCATTTTAGTTTGTAAATACATAACTGATCGCGTCTCTCARACCAGCATTTCGCAATTTAGATTATCCTTATTTTGCAAAACRTTTGTAAATGTGTTTAGGGGAGCTTCATTACTGGAATTAATGAAAATSTTACCTTTTGAACAAAGATTTCCTCTTCTGGGGGAAACTCGCTTATAACTACATCCTCTAAATCAGGCAGTTCCTGAAAACAGCCACAGATCATGAATTAGTGGGAGGAGCTACTGTAACCCATGAAAAACAACATCTCTGGCTCACTGGACAACTTCTTCAAAGCAAAGCTCATCAGGAGAAGAGGCCACAGCCAGCAGGACCACACTGCCATCCTCTCACAGGGACAGTTTGCTCTTAGCATCTCTGGGAAAGGGGAAATTCAGCTGTCTCCAGAAATAGCAAATGGGCAAGYAATCACCTTAATGTCAGACTGAATGCTGTTTTCTACTATGCTGTGTGATTAAAAAAGAAAACGGGATAAAGAGTAAGGCATTAACAGGATTTTAAAAGCAAACWTTTATTCTCTTAGTTGCTTCCTATCTATTGTGTAGACTTAATCCCAGCTGCAACTCATATTTTATGGGTAAGAGCCAGATCGACACTTGCAGTCTTCCTGAAACTGGGTATCAGTAAGCTCTGTTAACCTAAGTACACCTAATAAAACAATGTTTTAATGTGAATAATGCCTCATAATTAAGGATACAGAACTGCAAACWTGCTGAGAACTGTTTTTCTCAGACAGGTCCAATAATTTCAGCTTTCCACTAGAAAATATTATCTCAGACAACTGTCATTTGCTGACATGAAAGCAAAAGGTAGGTATGCAAAATCACAGGTAGAAACTAATACCTTGTTGCCATTTTTTTTTTTCAGTGTAGGTCAATACTGGGATAAGCAGCTCCTTTTGTTTTTAGGTAATTTTATGACTTAATGATTTTGTAGCAGACTGCATCAGGAATCTCTATTCTTGTACACTGTCTTGTGCAGTGAAGATTATTATAGAATTAAAATCAAGAAAGGAAATTTCTCCTTCCTGATAAGGCTKCAGCTAGTGCAGCATGTCCTGAAGTCACACAGTTTTATAAAAATAGCATTACAAATGTAGAAATTAGGATCTGAGACTATGTGGAGTTTGATGTCAATAGAGAGATGAAAGAGCTTTTAGTCTTGTTTCAATCATCAGGGTGCATTTGCAGACCACACTAAAATCACTTTCTAAAAGTTAGCCCAGTTTAGGTACATGGGAATGTGGTTCTCACACTGCCAAGGCATGTGCAGCAATATGAGCTTGTTTCTGCTTGACAAAGGGATGTCATAACCACTTATTACAAATCCTCCTCCACTCTTCTCCCTTATATTACTCCTGAGACACCTACAGASTCAGGATATGAATAAGGACAATGGTACTGCTCCAGAGCTTCTCACCATCGACACCTTCCCAGSCATTCCCTGCTGTGTCAGCACTAAGAGTCCTCGGAATATCTGCAATAGGGTAAGTACTGGAGGCTGTTGGGAGAAGCTCTTTCTATTACTAAAGGTTATTGAAGAATGAGTAGCGTAAAACATTGAAATGTGCATTAGTGTGTGATTTGGGTTTGGTTTTCTTCTGTGCAATTAAAAGAGACTTTTTATGTCTCTAAAGAAACTCCATGGATTTAGGCTTAAGACTTASTTTTATACTGCCTTAAAGTTTGTACAGAGGAGCTTCCTGTGGTGCCAAAGAGCATCAAGGGAAAAACAAAMACCGAATCAAGGAGATCTTCACATTGTGGGTTCCTACAGTATCACTATGTATTAAAAACTTTATTTCAGATAATGCAACATCTACTTTTAAGAATAATATTTGGCATACTTTGAATTGCTGCCCATTCTCTCCACTATCTTTTTAAAATCTGTTATTAAAAAATAGCTGAACAGGAGGTGGCAGCAGCAAACCCTCTCCTGAAACAGTGGGTTGAGTCTCCTTCAATAACAACATGGAATTTTTTCCTGGGAAATTAAAAGCATGGCAAAGATATAAGGCTTTTCTGCCRGTAATTAACAATGGCAGTATAAAATATCAAAGAGTATAATAAGTGCTCTGGGAAATCATAAGCTCAGACGTTTTCATTGCTGATTATATCACAGTCTGACATTGTCAGTTCATCARCAGTGTCCTAATTAGGACATATTGAACAGGTTTTCTTTGAAGTGAGGTTGTATTTTTCAGTGGAATCTGTGTMCTACTCATGGTTAAATATGGTAAACATGTTAAAAAGTTGCATCAGATATAAATTTTAGATAATGAAGAACATACTACAAATRTCAATCACTTATTAAATATCTGAATAATGTGCATTCTGCTTTCCTTGGAAACAGACATCAGAGTTCCATYTTGAGAATTAATTTATAATATCTAATACTGCAAGATAACATTTACAGTGAGGGGTTTGCTATTTCTTCCCTATGCTTTTTCTGCAGTAGTTCACATTTWCAATTGCATATTTCATTTGAGTCTGAATCCAATACATACATCAAGGTAAAGTTTCTCCAGTGTCTCCAGTTTGACTTGTTCAATTTCAGCACATTCACCCCTCTCAGGAATCATCACCTTGTCAGTGGCTGCCTCCTGTGCTGGTAGATCTAAAGAATAAACAATAGTCAGYTGCAGAGAACTAATAGAATAAAAAAATGTCGATTTTCAATAGCAAGCACTGCAAAACCAAACTRCTGGGGACCTGACTACCACTACAGAATTCACAGCTGAATCCAGCACTTTGTCATCCTGTGATATTCTGGGTCTCTCTTATATTGCATAAATTAATATATGCTTTTTGCAATAATGTGTTCACAAATCTATAAAAGTATTCTCCCATTTTTGAAGGCACAAAACCACCTCTAGAGTGACAACCAGCTACTGTTGGCAGACAGACTGCACAGTTTATGCAGGAGCAAGGAAAGTCTGTAAACTCTCCAGGCCTGTCAATAACCTGGCAGGTTTGAGAAGTGAAGTTCCTCTTTTAAGTTGCAGAAGTTGAAGGTTAAGCCTTYAGAATTTTATTATTTTCTTGTATTTAAAGAATATTTTACCCAGTATTGCTTGATTTCACCTAGTCACTGTGGCAATCTAATGGAATGATCAGTTGGCTTAAGGCACAGCGGAGGCAGTGCTACACTAAGACAGAGTTTGGCTCATCATCTCTGYATCCTCAGTTTGGTTTGGTTCTTCACTGTGTACGTTACCATTGGTCTCCCTGTTGAAATTTGTGCATTTGTAGGAGTCYGGTTCCTGTGCATCCTCTTGAGCTTCATCAGAAGTTTTTCCAGATGTGAAATCTCTGCTATCTCCTCTATTTGGTGGAAGTGTTACCACTTCATCACAAACATCAAAAATTTCRTTTTTATATTTCTCAGTCTTTTCTTGAGCTTCTTTTTCTGATTTCTTTGAAGTCTCTGATGTATTAGAATTTCCATCACCATCTTTTGAATTTGCAGGTGCTCCTACAGAAGAAACAATTTCATTAAAATTGCTGAGCTAATCTACCATTGCTTATTTTAAATATCTTACATTGGCCTAAAATATGCAGCAAAAACTTCTACTCTGTTTGAGCAGCTATTTGTGAATGATTAGTCCTCCCAAATCTGCAGCAATCCTGTGGGTTTTCCCATCTCAACTCCCCAGCAAACAGAAGCTCCCCCGCAAAAAAGAACCATCTAGAGAAAACACTTGAATAATAATTGTCTGGCACTTAAGACTCACAAGTGACTACATATTTAAATATATGCTTGAGGACTCCGAAGGATCAGCAACAAGTGCTGGTTACCTTCTCCTTTGTGCAATACACCTGCTTGCAAAAAAAGTTTTACTTGTTAGTCAATCCAAATACATAKCAGATAAAGACTTCTCTGCACATTCAAAATTGAAGTGGTGACAGATATCTTCCAAAACCCTAAGCACAAACCTTCAAGGATATCTGTTGCAACTCCTTCCATGCTCTTTCGTCTCTTCTCTTCATCTGCTCTTTGCCTAATTGCTGCTAATGCATCAATGCTATCTTGGATTTTTTTTCTCTCTCTGGTTTCCCATTTTTCCCTTTCTTCTTTTTCAGCTTCAAGCCCTCCAACAGCCCAGGCTTCTGCACAGGCTCTAATGAAAACACAAAAGCTCACTGTAACACAGCTATAAAAGCCCATTTGCAATGAGAGAAATTTAAAATAGTTTGCAACAGCACAAAATAGCTGCAGAGAAAAAAGCAGATAGCAGTGACAATCCCTTATGCAACAGGTATGCATGTTTTTCTCATCTTATATCTGGAACTGAAACAAAAGAGATATCCAAATGCTAATGAGCACACCACTAGAGATTGGTCTRATCTTGGCTCAGCTGTTCCAGACAYTTGCTCCATTTCTGTTGAAATCAGGATTTGCCTCTGGTCTACAAACTTGGTGCAAGACAATTCTGTTCAAGAGTTATTTTGTGAAAAAATACATTCCTTTTTTTCTAGGTATGCTAGATGTAGAACTTTGTGGTACAGTAGTCTTCTCCTCAAAGTCACCTACCTTCAATAAATTATACTGGTCAGTTTTCTTTTCCTTCCATGACAGTATTGACAAACAATGGATGAGAGATCATTAGCACTTGACCTTTATTGCTGTATAAAGAAGATGGCTGTGTTTCTTACCTATCTTTTGGGAAAACTGGTCTGTCATCCAGATATGTCAGTTGTTTTAGTCGAACAGTGAGTGTTTTTCTATAATTAGTAATTTTCTTTATCACCTCGTTTCCCATCAAATTCAGCACATGCTAGAGAAACAAAGGAAACTATTTTTAAATTTAATTAGAAAAACTCCCAATCCGAATATGCACTTTGCCTGTCATTTCAAAAGTAAGAAATTAATAAAACATCCAGGGTGTTACAGGTGATCTACAAGAAACAAAATAATGTTTCATAACGTTTCTTTTAGACTGATACCTCTTGTGCACTGAACTACCCAACCAAGTCACAATGGGGTTCAGCCACACATGACACAAATTCTCAGCTRTTTCTGGCTTACCAGATTAGGCATGGTCTCCAGAATAGTTACAATACTTGGATCACTTAGATTGTTGTGGGAAAGATCAAGAACAGAAATACTTGGGCATTCTTGCAAGTGCTGGATGTCTTCCACCGTCCGTAACTTATTGTGAGCRATCTGCAGAGTCTGCAGGACTTTCAGGCAAGCTGCCAGACAAGAACAGCACAATGATAGGTAAGAGYTGTTGCTTCACAGAGGGTTTTTTTGAGCTAGTGAAAAACTGCATTGTCAAATTAATTGTTTATACTGAATGTGGACCTTTTTTCTGAATTTTTTTTTCTGCTATATGTACTTTTTGGCTAGGCCTCCAAAGTTGCTTTCTTCACCCCAGGGAAAAATAGCTGCCTGGTTTTAGGATGGTGGTTGTTTTTAATTCATATTTCAAACTAATCATTTACACAAAAGCTTGTGTTTCAAAATTCTCCAATGWATGCAAGTAGTAATGTAGAGAAATTGTGTTTTATTTTCTGCTGAAGACAGAATAAATCTTTTAGCAGATATAAAAGATTTGGTAATTGTGTCTGCAACTGCCAAAGCACATCTTAACTGTAAACGGTGAAAAATGGTTTGTCAGCTGTCTGCAACACTGATAAGTATTGAGATGGTATTAAGAAGTGAGGAAAAATTAATTATCCTAGGTATCAATGTGAAGGTAGCTCCCACATATTTTCTGTTTCTCAACACAGGTTTGATTCCTCTACAGAAGCCCTGTGTGCTTTGGCATGGATATTGTGCAAAATTCTACACAAAAAAAAATCCCTTGAAACTAGTGCCATTAATAAAAGCTTAGTCAGAGCTTAGGGAATATGGCCTTGCCACAGGTTAAAACACATTGTGCCAGCAGTTCTTACACAGATTCTCGATGGTCTTAATGTAGTTGTTACTGATATTGAGGGAATCCAGCTTTTGTAAGGGTTCAAGGTTTTCAATCTTCTCAATGAAATTGATTTGCAAGTAGAGGSAACGCAATTCTGTCTGAGCATGCAAATTCTCAATTTTTCTTAAGCCATTGCATTGCAAGAACAAACACTTTAGTCCAGTATATTCTTCAAGATTCTCCAGGCGGTCAAATCCTGCAGAGAAAAAAAGATGTTTTAAATTGAAATGGCATTGGCTGAAAACGAGTCTTTGGAAGAGAAAATACATATATTTACCCAGGCCAGTATTTTAAGATATTTCTCAGAGGCTCCTGTCTCACAAACATGTCCCTTGATTTCTATTGATCCTTTGAATGGCTCCACAAAGTGAATTAGATGTATCATCAGTTTACTTTCATACCTTCACATTGACTCATTTTGTTTCCCACATCTAGTATTATATACAATTGTAAAAGAATAACTAGATACTTACTTCTGTAACCCAAGAAATAGGTTATCTGCTAAAATGCTACTTAGAATGATTAATCTAAACAGTCATGTCCACATCTTACCTTTATAATGCAAGTAAAGTGTATCATTTAAGTGTGGGGTCCAGTATAATTTCTGCTGTTTACAGATGTCTAGCAGAATCTTTTTTGTCATTCTAAAAYAGTACAGGAAGCAGAAGCAAAATAAAAAATGTATTTCAGTGCACATTCTGAAATCTTTGGTTTCYTTACCTATTCCAATGCAACATAATTAACAGTTCTTTCATGCAAGAGAAACAGCTACAGCTTTCAAAATTATTATTCAAATAAAAATAAAGAAGTGGGTTTTTTTAGTGTGGCTTTTCATTTCTACCTCCGAAAGGAGTTACCAGACTCTCCTGCTAAAACCCAGAGAAATTCATAGGAAAATGGGCAGGGAATTAGAAAGTTCATCTTCTTGGAAAAGGGAAGCATGATTCTATGTTAGCTTCTGGTTCCAATGTTAGYTTCCTCTCCAATTCTTTCCCCTGTTCCTTATTGCTTTGGTACAGGACCTTTGGTGGCAGAGCCAAAATGCAACATTTTTCTCAGACTAGAAAAATCAGTATTTATCATCCCAACATTTTAATGAAATTCTGACTCCAAAATAGCACTCAAGAAAGTTTTGTTATACAGCTGTTGGCTGGCTGGGAATTCCTGGGAATGCCACTAGGAATTAACACAATGCCTCGTCTGAAATGATGTGGAGAAATAGTTAAATCTACTGGCAAATGACTCCCACAGGAATTTGCATATTTTTCTCCAGATACATTAATTAAATACACAGTGTGGTCAGAATGTAATTTGCTRCTGTGGCCATAAACAACAAACATCTGTACAGACACCAGAAATATCACTAGCACCTCATCTATCCTTTATTCTCAAGTTCATCTTCAAAACTGTTCTCCAGAACTRAGATGAACACAAAGAATAGCTAAACTCCTGATGATGCCAAAATTAAAATAAAACACATCCACAAACACTATTACCTTACAGAGGCCCTCTTTTCTGTTTTCTTTTGACTGGATGAGCTGGTTCCAGACTTGTCATCAGTACCTGATTTTTGCTCATTCTGTTGATCTGCTTTGGACATACAGTTGACTTCTTTCTCTTCAGTTTTAACAGCTTCATAAATGAGAAAATGAGTTGCAATTTAATAGCAAAGATGGGGAAAATGTGAGATGTTGCCAATTACTTTAGAGAAATATTGAAGAGCACTTGAATATTAATTTCAAGAAGAGTCATCCCAAGCACTATTAGTCTAGCTCTTCTACAAATCTACCCTTYTGCAATCCTTGGAAGGTGTCTTTAYRCTGCCTTTGATTAATTSYAATTTYAGTATTTCTCTCTTCCGATACTTGCYCTGGACCTTCTACTTGCACTTGTAGTCTGTACATTTAAAGAGAAAGTGCAAACAAAATGATTGTACCAGCTTACTTAAATATGACTGCAATTAAAACATAATCATCAGACATGTTGAGTAACACAAGAGGCAATGGGCTGAAACTCGTGCTCAGAAGTTCCTCCTGAACATAAGAACTTGTTTACTGTGTGAGTGAGCACGCACTGGAACTGTTTGCCCAGAGAGGGTGTGAAATGTCCCTTACTGGACAGAAGAATCTGGATGCAATCCTGTGCCATGTGCTCTGGGATGGCCCTGCTTGAGCRGGGAGGTTGGACCRATGACCCGCYGKGGTCYCCTCACACYCGACCCACGCTGTCACTCCGTGATTTAGAGGTCAGGCTAGCTGTGTGATTATAATACTGGAAGAAATATTCCTCCAGCGACAGGAAAGTAAAGAAATACAGGGAAAGGAAAAAAGGCCACAGGAAGACAGCAACTGAGTATGCCGCCGTTAAGTCAGGATTTCAGTGACTTTGCTGGGAGAAAGCACACAGTGTTATTTACATCCATACGAGTATGAACAGCCGTGATGGGCACTTTATGTCCTGGCGGGCGAGCCGGAGGGGCTCACCTGTGCTCTCAGGGCTGCCCTCACACTCCGTGCGGGCACCTCCGCTCCCGGTGTCGACCAGCGGAGCCTCAGGCGCCTGGACCTCCCCTCCGCGGCCGCTGCCCGGGTCTCCAGCGGGCACCGCCTGCATTCTAACACCCCCCGAGCCGGTATCGGATTTACGCTCTGGCTTTTTCAGTCAAAGTGTCCCCAGCTTTAGTCGGCGGCAGGCGAGGGACGGAGCGGAGCGCGAGCCCSGGCTGCCGCCTCAGCCGCTTCAGCCGTGACCATGGCGACGGCGCGCGCAGGCCCACAAGGCCCCGCGGCCGCTCCCGGCGGCCCCGCGCGGCGCAGGCGGTGGCGGTGAGCGCGGGCGGCGCGGAGCTCAGCCCGGCCCTGAGGGTGAGGCACCGGCGGGGCAGGGCCGCGGCGGGGGTGGGTTCCGTCCGGCACAGCCCGGCAGAGAGAGGGCCCCAGGCCGGGTCTTTGAGGGCCGGGGCTGGGTGAGGGGCCGAAGCGCCGGGTGAGCTTGCTGGGACTGCGCGGGTGGGCGCGCCCGGAGCCCTGTGTCCCGCCCTGGGCGAGGGGCGGGCGGGCCGTGGCGGTGCCGGGCAGCGCATCAGGTGCTGCCGAGGAGAGGACGGGTGTGTGCTTGTTATGAAAATGTATTAACTAGTGAAAGCCGTGTGAGACACAGCAAACGCGGTGTGCGATGTGCCTGATGTGCTGCAGCGTGCCGTGGTTCAAGGACAGTGGCAGATGCAGTGCTTTTGCCAGCGCTGGGGACTGAGTCTGTGTGAGCTTGCTTTGTTTCTCGTGTAGCTTTTTGTCCTTGAAAGAGCCCGTTGTTTCTTTGTATCTCAGCTTTCTCGTGCTGGTTATCCTTGCTTCTCTTTTACGTAGTTTTTCATCTTCCAAAATTGGTTTTCACCTGTTTAGCTTCTGCTTGAATTGTTTTATTTACGGAATTGTGGATCAGTGTCGTTGCAGTATAACTGATTAATAGCTGAAACCTAAAAAAAATCTAAACAGTACGTAAACCAGTGAGGATGATGATAGGTGACTCCCAAATTTTAGGAGACTGACTTATGGCTTTTCTGCATCAAAACCAGCACTCAAAGTGTAACATGCTGAATCTCGAAGGTTATCCATACAGTCTGAAAWGTTTGCATGGCCCAAGAGGCAGTTGTAATTGCCTGTGTCTTTTTTTTTCAGGCTTGTCATCACCATGGCTGCGGTGGATCGATTCTCCCTCTTGTACAGAGAAATAAGTTACTCCTGCAGTTTCTACGTAGAAGGCCTRGCTATTGTGGGAGCTTGGTACACACTCACAAAGTGTGTGTCTCTGGCGTTGGACACTTACAGTGCGCTCAGGCTGTACGTTATTCCAAGGCTGACTGGGGAGGTTGATCTTGTCAAGAAGTATGGARGATGGGCTGTGGTCACTGGTAAGAGATGAAGTGGTGAATTTGCTTAAATTTATATAACATGTTGTGCCAGTACTGTGAAACTTGGTAGCTTGTGCTGCTGGGTGAGCTTTATGTCACAAGCTCGGGCCTGTATTGTCTCAGGTTGCAGGTTAATCTACTTGAGCGGTGGATGTTGCTCACTGTCTTTAGAAATGAATTGCTCAGGAGATGGGCAAGATAAGTGAATTGACTGACAGCTGAGAAAGAATCACAGCAATTGTTGCCCACGTTTAAACGGTACATCTTGAACACCTGTAAGTATAGACAGAGATGCAGACAAGGTCCTTTTTTTGCTATGAGATGTTCATATGTGCTCTAGTTCTTCAGCAAGGTTTGAGCCCTATATCTCTGACATCCCTGCCTTTCATTAAGGTTCTCCTTTGAGCTCTCTCTTGTCATAGAAAATATAAAACTTTYATGAAGGGAATTGCAGAAGGTGTTTGGCAGGGTTGTCTTTACTGTTGTGTCTTTGTATTCAATATATTCAATGATGCATGATCTCAGAAAAAAAGAATAAAGCTAAAATTCAAAGAACTGTCGAAAGTAGAAGGCTGGGGTTGCTCTGTTTTTAACTTGTATGTTCTATTGCATTTTTCTCTTGCAGGTGGCACAGATGGCATTGGGAAGGCTTATGCTGAAGAACTGGCAAAGCGTGGTGTCAACATCATCTTAATCAGCCGAAACAAAGAGAAGCTGGAGGCTGTATCCAGGAGCATATCTGAAACCTATAAAGTGGAAACAGATTTAATAGTAGCTGATTTCAGCAAGGGTCGTGAGCTTTACCCAGCCATTAAGGAGGCTCTGAAAGACARAGAAATTGGTATTTTGGTGAATAATGTAGGAATGTTTTATGACCACACAGACTATTTTACTAATCTGTCCGAGGATAAGCTATGGGACTTGATCCATGTAAATATTGCTTCCACTACCATGATGACGCATATCGTGCTGCCAGGCATGGTAAAGAAGAAGAAAGGGGCAATTGTGAACCTCGCTTCGTCAGTCTGTTATCAGCCATCACCGATGTTGACAGTCTATGGAGCCTCTAAAGTAAGTTGGGATGTAGTTCTAAATGGTATGCGCTCGAAAGTACATTATAGGTTGGTTGTGTTGTGAGAGTTTTTTAACATGTTCAGCAAGGATATCAAAATACCTGAATGTTTTCTAGGGATTTGTTTGAATATTGGAAGTGAATGATACATGTATTACACAGTAAACTCTTCATACTCACCAATGCTGGACTTGGAATCCAAGTCATTGCTCTTGGATTTTCTGTGAGCTGTGGCATAACAGTCATTCTAAGAGAAATGTTGCCTTTCTCAGATGCACAGAGCAGAGAGGCAGTTCTGTGGCACCTGTTAAAAGGGTCCAGAATTTCATCTCTCTCTTCTTCAGCTGAACTGTGTACATACTTCAAGCCTCTTGCGTACCAGTATTTGGTAGCAAAAAGGGCTATCTTCGGGCTCAAGCCACCACTGTGACAAAGAGTGTGGCCAAATCAAGCCACTGCTTCATGTAACACCAAGCAGTGTTGTGCCATATTTGGGGACAAGTGACAGGAACTCCCCCATAATTGTCCTTCCTGAGGAAGTCCAGCTGGTAATGAACGGGATGGGACAGCTGGKTGATGCTGGATGCTCATGGTGATGGTGGAGTTACACTGTATGACATGCTGCTGAATCCACAAAAGCAGCTGAGATCGTGGAAGGATCAGCTAGACCCAGTGTCTAAACACAAGTGGTTACTGCTCCCAGATGCCCGTGGGTTCCCTCTGCTGTAGCCTTCCTCCTGACATAGCTCTTTGAGTATTTCCTTTGGCCTGGAGCAAAACCAGCTCTTACTACCCCAAGGTATAAAAGTCTTTGTACACTTTGTCCAGTATGGAAACTGGCTTAAGATTACTGTTTTCTGTGCAGATTATCTGCCCCTTTGATTATGCTAAGTGTGTGTAGAACTGCATTTTGAATTAAAACAATTAAAAGGCTTGAATGAAAAAGAAGAAACACAAATATGCTGAAGTTTCTTCATTTAGCTGACATAATCCAAATTCTAAATCAGCAATCCAGCTTTAAGCCTGGTCTCAGAACAGTGAAATGAGAACAAGTTGCTGTAACATCCTAAGCCTCTTTGTGCATTAAATAACAGTGCATGGTGTTTGAAGTGCTTTAGTTTTCCTGAAGGAGCTGTAAGAGCATTTCTCCAAGATGCTTTCCCAACAAACTGTTGGGAAAACCTTTTGCCAGGCTGTTTGGAAGCAACAAGCTATCTGCTCACAAGCTGAGTCTAAAATACTCTTTCCCAGGGAATACTGGCTGTGTGGCACAGCAGTAGCTTCAGCAGGGAAGGAATCTGCATTGTTGCTCTGATAAGACTGAGCCAGGCTAATTTTTCAGTCTAATTCCAGCAGTCCCAGTTAGCAGGCTTGAGCTTTTTTGTTACTCTGTATAAGTAAAATGAGCTGAAGAAGATAATGCAGATACACATAAACAAATGAATAATTTTGCATAAGGAAGTGCCAGAAATAACTAACCTGGCCTTTGGAGAAGACAGTTGAATGCAAAATTCATCTGTAAAGGTACTAAAGAATGGGACTTTATTTTCTCCTTCTGACAGTGCTAGGTAGAGCTGGCTGTAAAGTGTCCTTGCAATGCCCCCAGAACAAACAAGGTATTTGTTTTAAATGAAATAAATGTTTTTGTATTATTTTTAAGCAGAAATTGGCAGATYGTGTTAAGCAGTCACTTTGTCCTGCAAGTTACTGTACTATGTCAGGTTTATAGTAAATAACAACACAGASAAATGTTGATAATATGTCAGTAATTAACATTTTTTACTATTTATTAGCTTTTTATTTATTGAGCTGGTGTATAAAATATGTTACAACTCCTCTGTAATTTTAATAAAACCCTTCCCTGAGATTTCATTGTTTAAAAAAAAAGAAGAAAAAAGAACTCTTTCTGCTTTTGTCTTTCTAGAGCTACATGGACTATTTCAGTAGATCGYTACATTATGAATATGCCTCTAAAGGAATTTTTATTCAGAGTCTAGTGCCATTTGTAACTAGAACAAATYTGATAGCATTCAGTGACACTATAAAAAAGAGATCTATCATTCTTCCTACTGCTGAAGAATATGCAAGTCAAGCTGTTTCTACTCTTGGTTTATCCATAAGGACCACTGGTCACTGGAAGCATGCAATACAGGTAATGGAATTCATTAAACTATTTAATGTTGTCAGTAGAAGTAAACCAGCTTTTTACTTTCTTAGGAATCTGTTTTAGAAATGTATGCTTGGGCATGCTTATTTTTAAGATCAGAGAAGGAATCCAATTCCCCCTTTAATGTGCAGCAAAAATGGGAAAGAGACAACTTTTTTATTGAAAAGCACGTAGTATCTCATTTCACTTGGGGTGTTGCTGACTGGGCCAGTGTTTCATTGCCTTTTGTAAATAGAAATAGCTTTTTTCAGTCTTAATTTCTTGAGCGTATTTCTGCTTTGGGAAGAGTGGGTAGGGAGGATGGAATAATAGCAGGAAAAAAACCCCATATTTTTGTTCTAAGCTAYCTGGAAGCAAGTCCTCCCATTTGTTAGCGTTTTCATTTCTGGGGGCAGACTGTTTTAGGCACGTTGGTCACATCTCATGTATCCTGCTTTGTGGCTTCCTATGGCATTGGGTTGAGTAGATGGAAATGAACAAATGGGGATTAATCCAAAAGGAATAAAAGAGGTGGGATGGATTCTGGCAAGATGTGGCAATTAAAGGAAGTGGACAGAACTGCTGTTGTGAACTTGACCAAAACAGAATTCAGGATTTATTTGAGGAACTTAACTGATCAGCTGTGGGTGCTACTTCAGAAACAGCTAAATATATGTACTTATAAGAGGTTGAATTTAAGGCTTAGTTGATGATATTCAAGCACTTTTTGCCTTGCTTTAGTAGTGATTTGAGAAACTGTTTGTTTACTTTAATGGAATCTATCTTAATCCGTCCCTTCTCTTCATTTTTTCCTGTTGTCTCCCCCTGCCTCTCCACAGCTCACACTGGCTAACTGCCTGCCTGAATGGATATGGGCATGGTTTTCACTGAATATGAGCAGAGCTCTACGCAAGCAAGCTTTGAGAGCCAAAGCGAAATAGGAGTAGCTTGTTGTCCCACGTGATGGTTCTGATCAGTGCTCCAGAAATGCGTAATGAACCTTGGAGAACTTACTGTAACTTATCCATACCTTGTTAAACAAGCTACCTTACCTCGACAGCCAAAGTGTGGATCCTCTCTATATCCTTGTATTAAATAGCTCCTGTGCTGCTTTCCTTTATGACAAAATGCTGATCTTCTTGATGTTAATTTCTGTTACCTTCCTCATTGAGATAACTGGGCAGGAGCTGGTACAGGTTTTTTTTTCTGACAATAAGTGATCATCTCTCACATAGTGCTACATGATGTCCATTTATAAAGTTGACAGAATTTAAGACTTCTCCAAATCCATCAGAAACAGGACCCCCAAAAAATCAAGCATTCTAAATGACAAGTGAGAAGTTGTGGAGAAGATGGGGTAAAGTATCAGGGCCAGATACCCATGACAGGGGTCTGTCCACAGCTGACGCCAATCTCACTTGGGCTTTAAAGCCGTTCGCTTCAACTGTGCGGGATAAAACTGCTGTGTTGCCAACAACGCCTTTGGCTCGCTGGCAAAGGGGCTTTAAACCAGTACATTTAATTTGGGCATAGGCTTAAAAGGCCCTTGAGGAGGGCGATGCTGGCGTGTCCCCCCCCTTCCCTGCGGGACTCAGCCCCCTCAGCCCCGCCGGGGTAACGGGACTCGGAGCGCCTTTTCCGGAGGCCCCGCTGCCATCGCGCATGCGCGGCGCTCCTGGCTCTCGCGAGAGCGCGGCGGTAAACAGCGCACAAGATGGCGGTGGGCCGGGCGGCGGCGGCGGCGGCGCGGTGAGCACGGGACGGGGCGAGCGGGACGGGACGGGAACGCCGCGGCTCCCTCAGGGCCCTGGGGCGCGGGCGGGGCGGTGCTCGCTGCCCTCGTCTGCGGGGCTGCCTCGCTCGCTGCCGCGGCGCGGGGCTCTCCCCGCCGGCTGTCACTGCATCTCCGCCCTGCCCGGGCCGGGAGCGGCGGCTCTGCCCTCACGGGGTCCGGCCGCGCTCACTGCGGCKTTAGTCCGACCGGGGCGGTACCGGGCACGGGCTCACCGGGCTCGCTCGTGGCACCGGCGGAGCTGCGCTGCAGCCGGTTCCCCGCAGGGCTCTCGCAGCCGGCGACTCTTGCGGCGTGCCCAGTCCTCGGGATGGGGTGCCCKCTTCGAAAAAGGCAGGGAGTGACTCCAAGCATAGCTCTTCTAGGGCAGGGGCAAGTTGGCAAGTGTGAGTGAGTCCCGTCCAGCCCCTCACGGTATGGGTGTTTAACAGAATAAACCTGTGGGCATGCTGTTCCTTTGCTCTTAGTTTCCATCGTATTTCATTATCGTGCTTACATACAACCTGTTATCAGCCAGAAGGGTGTTTATTTTGCTCATTTGTGTGGTTGTTTTATTTTATTGCTATAGGGGTTATTAACCGATGAAGTGATAAAGGCAGGCAGAGCTTAGCCAAGGCCAGGAGTCAATGCACTGTAATTCTGTTGAGTTCGGAATGAAGGGGAAACTTCATAACCACAAGCAGTTCGGTGTTGTCAGTCAAATAAAAACAGAGGGTATTTCTGTCCCTGTTACAAGGAAATACTTGACAATGCTAAATAAAGTTAAATAAAAATGAAGTAACAGCTGTTGCATTCAGACTCGATTAATCTGTTATTGTGCTGTGAGGTCAGCCTATCATTCCCCTAAATCATGTGAATTCATTGATCAGGCTCCTACTTTCCAGTCCTCATCACAGCTGCAAAGTACTGTTCTGTTCTGCTTCTCCAGGTGCTGTGACAAACCAGACATAAATGTTTCTCTTTCCTTATCTTTTAATGGCCTTCTATCTCTCAGTTGCTGGTTGAGTGTTTGGAATTCAGAAGAATACTAGCGTTGCAATTTTTCTTGAGTGTATTATGCACTTTGGAACCTAAGGGGAAGAGGCTGTCTGTCCATATGAAAAACACTTGCAACACTTTCCTTTAACTTCACATTATTGCATGCTGTTATCAGGTCTTATTTTCTCAGGTGCCCATGTTTTAGTAACACACACCCCAGCTCAAATTTCGAAAGACTTTTTTAATGCAGATTTTCAAGCATAGGCACTGCAACTTTGCCTCTCCACTGGTACCTCTTGTCCTTACCTGGCCTTGGCATAGAGTTTGAATCTGATTGTTCTTGTGTAAAATGATGCTCTGTAGCATTATTTCTATTTGCTATGTTTCTGATTGGCAAAAAAAACATGCTTTTTTAAGTGTCTGTGGACACTTATGTTAGTATTTTATTTTGCACTTTTTCCCCCTGCCATGGGATTTGCATGTCATTTTTTCCTCTTTGCTCCATGTAGATGAAGTGGGGTCGATTTTGGTGGTCATTGTTGCCTCTTGTGTAGCCAGGTTAATATCTGAGTGTTTCACACGTKCTCTTGTCTGAGTAAGGCAAAGACATGGTGGAAAATGGTTAAATGAAATATGAACAACTTTTCCCCCTATTATTTGTAAAATGAACTGCCAAAGGTGTCTTTTTTTGGGTGATTTTCAGATTATRAAGTTGCACAAACATGCATCTAATTATTTTTTATATTGCACTGCCTTACAGGTTGGCTTGCAATCAGCTTTGCTAATTCTTCTAGGGAGTTAACTTTGCCATCAGAAATGGAGTACAGGACTCAGCTGCCACATCCCAAGTGACCGAATCATTGTATGCAAAATGGAGAAGAAGCGTAGAAAGAAATGAGCCTGTTCACTAGGCTTGACCTGAAAAGACCATGAAATCTCTGCTTATTTTGGATCCAGCTTTAGGAATATCCAGTTGATCAGCACAGTGAAAGCAACATTTCCTGGAACAAAAATGAACTAGTTTATAAAGAAGAAAACTGTGATTTGATTATATGGAATTTTTGGAATGAAACCATTTTCTTCTATGACCATGAAGTTTGCAAACATCTGGCTTGTTCTGGTTGTTATTTTACTCTGTGGCAAAAAACACTTTGGTACCAGAGTAGGGAATTCYTCTCATGAGGCTCACGTATGTCCTGGATGTTCACGCCTTACTTTGAAAGTGGAGTTCACTTCGACAGTTGTGGAGCATGGTAATAAAGAGTTAAGCAGTAAAAAGTAATCCATGTCATGTTCAYGTGTATGTTACTGATTTGTGATGTTTGCAACTTTAGCATTCAGGGTTTCTGTAGAAGCACATCATCTGCTAAATTCTCTATATTYAAAAAGAGGAACACTTTTACAAAGATGCTTTGTTTAGCTGGAGACAGTGTTCCAACAACAAGAGAAGGGAGAGGGAAATCAAGAGKATGTTAAAACTGAAAATGGAGTGTGGAGGCTCAGGTGGGCAAGTTTGATGTGTTTAGTCACTGTTTATTTTGACCTGGCCAGTGGTGTGCTTGAGGCTCTTTCATGAAATGTGACCACACAGGCCTTGAAAGGGTGAGAAAAGCGAGAGGTCTCTGTGGATTTGTTAAAAGTTTGGAAGCAATACTTGAATGAAAAAATGGCAGATAACTGTGAARGGAGCAGATGAAAGGCAGAGTGAGGCAGATGCCACTGCTGAGATGGCAAAGGGTAGCAGTAGATACCTTGACCCTGCATCCACGTGTTGCCTCAGGAACTTTCCAGCAGTGAAGCTGAGCTATGCCTGGGTGCTTGCAGGCAGGATGGCAGGAATGACATTCCTGCAGGTAGCTGGCCACAGCCTTAACAGGATGAATATAGTGTTGTAAGCCGGGGCTGAGCCTGCTCACAAATCACTGGTGCAGGTCAAGGACTGGATTGTTGAATCTGACTTTCTTTTCTGAGCTTGCCATGGTGTCASTAATTTGCACTAAAGCTCAGTACCATGCAGTCTTTAAACCATACCTGTCAAGAAACAACATTGAATTGGCATATCAGTTTGTAACAGCAAATCTGTTCCCTCYCCCCTGCTCCTCTCATTGTTTCACCTGTCCCTGATACTTACAATTCTACCATCCTTTCAAAGGTTTTTGTCATAATTCTTAGGTTTCCTGATGCAACACTTACCACCCCTTCCCATCACATAGTTCAGAAATAAATTGCAAACTTCTAAAAGCAAAAAAAAGTGCCTCATTGTGATTATTTGTTCTGAATAAAGGAAAACTCAGACTTTGCAATGTGAATGCATGAATAAGCTGCTTAAACACCAGTTCTGATAAAGTTGTGCTCTTGTTCCAGAGTATATTGTGGCTTTTAATGGATACTTCACAGCTAAAGCTCGAAGTAAATTTATTTCAAGTGCACTAAAAAGCAGTGATATTGAAAACTGGAGAATTGTACCTCGCAACAACCCAGCTAGTGACTATCCAAGTGATTTTGAAGTTATTCAGATCAACGAGAAGCAGAAGGATGGAGTCCTCACACTGGAAGATCATCCAAACATCAARCGTGTGACACCTCAGCGAAAGGTTTTTCGGTCGCTCAAGTATTTGGAATGTAAGTTACTTTCTGTGTGGCTGCATGGGATCTGCTTTGGAAAAGTGTTCTTACCCTTATTTCAAACCATCAGTTTAGTGTTACGCAAGTGAGAAGTACTCTGCATTTTTTCTTTAATTAGCAGAAATCTCTTCTTTTGGTTATAAAATTATCAGGGTCTTGTCATATGTTTGCTAAAGCATGGTATGTTTCTGTCTACAGCATAGAAATATTTCTTTTGCAGCAGTCAGTTACCTGAGACTATGGACCTCTGTATCCCTCTTAGATAAACKAGCAGCTTTTACCCATTTTGATTGAAGAAACTGAATACTCAATAATCTAAAACCATTTTTTGTAACAATATGATGTCTTATGTTTGCGTAAGAGTCAATTCTTTTATGGTTTTCCTCATACTGTATTTTCTTTCCTTCATCCTAATTCTACACAGCTGATCCAGTGCTGCACTGCAACGAAACCAGGTGGACTCAGAAGTGGCAGTCATCCCGGCCCTTGAGGAGAGCAAGCCTTTCTCTGGGTTCTGGCTTCTGGCACGCCACCGGCCGGCACTCCAGCAGGCGCTTGCTGAGAGCCATCCCTCGCCAGGTTGCTCAGACCTTGCAGGCAGATGTCCTCTGGCAGATGGGTTACACAGGTATGCTTTTGCTTATTGCCTGAGAACAATGACCTTCTTGGAAAAACAAGTGAAGTGTAAGGAGAGGCTAATTGACTCGAGTTAACCTCTCACAGGGTGCTAGGCTGTGAAGGTTGAGAAATAATTTGGTTTGAAATGCATTGTATATTTACTGAATGCTTGTCTGTGTGTGTGTATTGTACTTTGGGAGGATTGGTCATGTTTATGACCTTTGGTTGAATTTCTGAATTGGAATATGGGTTTATTTAAGATCTGTAACTCATGTAGATTGTAAATTGCATACTACATTAAACATAATTTCTCTTTTAACTTGTTTGAATAGATTTGCTATGGAGCTGAATCAAAAAAAGTAATGGTTTTCTCTTAATAGGTGCTGGTGTGAGAGTAGCAGTGTTTGACACTGGTCTGAGTGAGAAACATCCACATTTCAAAAATGTAAAGGAGAGAACAAACTGGACTAATGAGAGAACCTTGGATGATGGTGAGTGTGCAATTTTTCAGCTATTCCTGACACTGGTGTGTTTTGTGCTGCTTACTGCTGTACTGCTAATAYCTCTTAAAACTCTGTATCTTGAGATAGATGCTTATATTGCCCAGTCTTGTATGCACTTCCGTAGTTTTCTTTACACARTAATTTCTTTGCATTGCAACGCCAGATTTTGGTAGCTCTTTCTGTTAGTTCTGTGCCCAGAGAGTTGCTGGACAGGCAGATTTGGAGTACAAAAATATAATATAGACAGTCAAATAAAGCAAAAGCCAAATTATTTTTGGACAAAAAAATGTTGTGTTCATTGCTAATGCTTAACAAAATATGGTTATTGCAGAGTCAGGATAAAAATCCTTTCAGAAGTCTGCRTTAAAATGCGTTGACTTTCTGAGCTGCATTTTCCAAAATACTGTTTTGCTGTCATGATTTCATTGGTAGCGTTCAGGAGTGGATGGACTGGAGAATGTATCACCCAACTTTCTGATTGTCTGGCTAAACAATGCTGCAAATTCTGACCTCACTGAACCTGGTAGCAGAATGTGGTTCAGAAAGACTAGGACTGAATCCAGTATTTGTAGTTGTAAARTCTGTTAAAGTGATGTGATTTTTGCTATAGTTGATGTTCAAAGGTAAAAATCCTTGGCAATGAAATGATTTCTCTTCTAATGTCTTATTTTATTTCCTTCTCTTGGTGATAGGTTTAGGCCATGGGACTTTCGTAGCAGGTGTGATAGCCAGCATGAGGGAATGCCAGGGGTTTGCTCCAAATGCAGAACTGCACATTTTCAGAGTGTTCACTAATAATCAGGTAGCTATTTTACATGCATTTAAATTCTTGCCTTTTCAGGTTAATGCTGTATTAATCCTTTTTTTGGGAGTATTGCATTGCCCTTATACATGTAGACATTAATAAGTGGGATGGAKACAACTTTCTGACAGTTTCCAAATGTGGTATATTTTTCAGAAATAGTATGCGGAAATCGTATATGTATAGTGGAACRGTCACCCAAATGTACTGAGCACTAGAAATTTAAGACCATTGTCACTTTTGTGCTTTATTTTGGTGTTGTTTCTGCTTTCTGTCTAAAGTCTGTATTGTCATGAAATCGCTGGATATTTTTAATGGTAACTTTGTGCCCCTCTATCTTACATAGGTCTCGTATACATCTTGGTTTCTGGATGCTTTTAATTATGCAATTTTAAAGAAGATAGATGTACTGAATCTAAGTATTGGTGGACCAGACTTCATGGATCATCCATTTGTTGACAAAGTTAGTATGAGGAAGTGGGCATAATGTTTSTATCTCTCACACAAATGTTGGACTTGCAGAAATGCTTATTTCCATCTGGTCCTGCTGACAGTTTCTGTGTTTCATTTCTGTGATAGAAACTTTGTACAATGTACAGACTCTTAGGAGTAGGTATAAGGATTGAGATAAAAAAACCCCAAGCACAACCCATATGTTTACAGAGTTATGGAAAATGCTTTTTAATAAAATGCTTGATAATTTGCTTGGAAATTACTCCCAAGAAGACAACCAAAAGAACCTTTAAATAGAAAATGCTTAACTGAAATCCACTCTTGGAGTTTTTTTCCTAAATCTCTGCATGGTTAATTTATTTCATGGTAAAAAAAAAAAAAAAAAAAAAAAAAAAAAAGAATGATCTGATTTTAGTGAATTTAAGAACAAATAGCTAAAAATTGCAGGTAAAAAGTGATTCAGCTGCATGCCAAGAGATTTGGTTCAGATGGAATTAGGTTTTTGTCTTTGTAAATGTCATAGTTCACTGCATTATTGGTCTTCAAAAGCATTACGTGAATTAATTTAGTTTTCAAAAAAAGAATATAGTCTTTCTTTGTAAAGGGCAGTTAAGGGGGTTGGGGTATAAATTCTTCCTTGTTTTTTTTATGATAACCTGCATTGAAATTTAGTTTAACAGTGACTTCACTGTACTCCCCAGAGTACTACTGGAGGGGATTCATAAGAGCTACTTGATTTTGACATCTGCAGTGCTTGTTACAGACAAGAGTTATTCCTTTGGTGTAACTTTAAAAAGGTTCTGTCAGCAGTGTTGCTGCCGAGGCTGGGTTATTGCTCAAATTGTCTTAAGGAAGTTTGGAGCTTAATAGTGGATATACAGTRGGATGTATCTTCTAAGACTCAGAAAGAAGTTAAGTCTGTTAGAAAAGTCTCTTTTTTGGTGGCAGAGCCTTATTGTAAACATTGGTTTTTATAGGTTTGGGAGCTGACTGCCAACAATGTCATCATGGTCTCTGCTATTGGCAACGATGGCCCTTTATATGGGTGAGTGTCAGCAACCGCTTCAAAGGGTCCCAGCTATGTTGGTATGTGGGTTTGGAAGTAGTTTTGCTTGGTCAGGAAGTTTTCTCTCCTTTTTTTTTTCTAATCTTAGAAAATGACTCCAGTTAAACTCTTTTCACTGTCCTTAATTGCTTGCATTTTGGGAAGTACTTAACTAAATATTTTTCTTTGAAATGGTGGAAAGTCGGTGAAAGAAAAATAGCAGTGCTTATAGCTGACATATCCCTGTCAGTATGAGCAGACATCTTTGGGTACTGTTCTTGTACTTAAGGAATATAGAAGGGATCAACCCAGAACGATTTGTGCTGTACTTCTACAGTAAATGCCTAAAAACAGATTTTGTTTTGTCTTCAAGGCACACAGTCTGATAGTTACTGAGTTAGTAACTGCCTGATGAGTTGCTGTCACCTATGAAGTATAAGTAATCTGATGGCAGCACTTCTGTTACCGGGATAAACTTACGACTGTATCTTGTTTTTTTGGGTGTTGTTTCAATTTTTTTTTTCTTCTTATCTCCCAACTTACTCTAGGACTCTCAATAATCCTGCTGACCAGATGGATGTGATTGGAGTAGGTGGCATTGACTTTGAAGATAATATAGCTCGCTTTTCATCTAGGGGAATGACCACTTGGGTAAGATATTTTGATGATGGCCATTCACATTTGCAGCCAAAATAAGRGAGCCTTGGAAGGGCTACCTTTTTTGAATGGCCAGTTCTGTATGTTGGAGTAAAAATGAGAAGATACTTCATCAGAGATCAGAATAGTTAGAAATTGTAAGTGTTTAAGCAAGAAGCTTAATGTTCTTTTCGGGGTTTCCCACTATTAGTCCTGACCCCTACTGACATTTTTGATGAATTTATAGAACATCTAGTTCCTTTTGATTGATGGTGAGGACTTGTCTGTGTGGTTAAATCTGCAAACATGAAGGCCTGCTCTTGTCCTTTAGTTTAAAAATCCTAGGATTTCYGGTGTTACATGTAACATTGCACTTACTGGCCTGTGGAGCTGAGGTGGTGGTTATGGTGCACATGATTTCAGATGAGCTCACACTGTGATCTAGGTGAAGGGGTCTGTCACATGTTTCTGTTTGTGTATCCAGTAGCAGTGTGGTTATYATTTAGTCAGTGGTTTCATGCTTAGCAGAGATAGTGATCAGCAGTAATGTTGAAACGATGAGAACTTACCCTAAACAGCTTGAGTCCTTTAGGTTAGCAGCTATTCTGTGATGCTGAACCTTGGCTAATTTAGTTGCTGATTTTACTTATGAATGACCTGTCATTAAGTTAAATGCCCAGGTGAAGCCTCCAGTATCCATTATACATTAGGGCAATAATCCATTTGTTTTCTTTCACAGGAGCTGCCTGGAGGTTAYGGCAGAGTGAAGCCTGATATTGTCACTTACGGCTCTGGAGTGAGAGGGTCTGGTATGAAAGGTGGATGCCGCTCCCTCTCTGGGACAAGTGTGGCATCTCCTGTGGTGGCAGGTGCTGTCACTTTGTTAGTGAGGTAAATCTTAATGAAAAATCTCTTAACAGGTATCAGTCAGGAGGGTCATAAAATTCCCTCTAAAGGAATCCACCAAATAAAACTAAATTGTGTTTAGATGTTGCAAAACAGAGAATAAAATCACTACTGTCCTGCCTGAATCGTTACCTTGTCTAGCTACCTCTATGTTTCWTGAGAAAAACTGGRTGAATAGTAACTGTGTGGAATRATAGTTAGGTGTTTGAGGATATAATTAGGGTGAGCAGGACTAGGAGGCAATCTTGTCACATTTTTTAATCATTTGGGATTGCTGAACTTATTTCAACTGTTGTTAAAGAGCAGCTGCTCAAAGTAGGCACCCTTAGCAGGTAATTACCAATGTACTTGTAAATTTTATAGGATGCAGGGTTTTATGGCCATTGTCCTGTTGCGTAAGTCAGCTGTTGCACACTAAAGAACTTGAAAGAGGAAACTGCAAGTCCATACCYTGTGTTTGTTATAGCTGCTCCATATGGATGAGACAAATCTTTATTTGAGAAACATGCAAAAAATTCAAAGTCACCATCGTATTTCCTCCATAAATTGGTGCATTTTAGTTTGAACAGCAGAGCTGTTTTTCCCCCTCRAAAGACAGCTATTTTATTTGGAATATAAGGATACTGCCCTGATTGTAATGGCTRGTCATGGAGCACATTGTAAGGAGAAAAATGAATGTATTGTTAGTTTTAAAGAGCAATATATCAGGAACTTGTTCCTCTTCTACATTTGTATCATGAGAAATCAAGCAATAATAGACAAATATGAASAGCAGATGTTACTGCAAACTGATTTTGTGATCTCTTACTTCCTGTTTCAGCACCGTTCAGAAGCGTGAAATGGTGAATCCAGCAAGTATGAAGCAGGCCCTTATTGCATCAGCACGGAGACTTCCTGGAGTCAACATGTTTGAGCAAGGACATGGCAAATTGGATCTTCTAAGAGCTTATCAGATCCTCAACAGCTATAAACCACAGGCCAGGTTAATTTTAATCCTTAATTAATCAATGGTGCACTATGATTTGCTCTTTTGTTTAAGAGAGCAGGTGATGCAGGTAGCTTAGTTGAGCAATCTGTGCTTGTGCGACAGCAAGGAATTGCACAAGTCTTGTGTATTCTGAAGCATGAATTCTGACAAGAAAATGAATGAAAAGTCCCAAGTTTTTTTCCACCTAAGTATAGCAGTGTGTAGGGGATGATCATTTTCCRTTCTAGCCTTAGATGTTATGAATAATGTGAGAACACAGTGGAAAAGTACTTAAGTTTTTACTTTAGAGAGTAAAGGCCTTCTCCCTGTACTGAAAAGTTTCCTTTTTTAGTGTGTGAAAATCTTTTCACAAAACTTAAAAAAAAAAGTAGAAGGTGTATTTTGGGGCATATTTGGGAAGTGAGACGAGATCTTGATAAACTATGACTGGCATGGTTTATCTGAATTGTTTTCACAGTTCTGTGTAGTGGCTTGTTCTTCTTCTGTTCATTGATTTTTATTCTCTCTTCAAATTTTCCCTCCTYCATCCTGCTGTAGTTTGAGTCCAAGCTATATTGACTTGACTGAATGTCCCTACATGTGGCCCTATTGTTCTCAGCCCATATATTATGGAGGGATGCCAACTATTGTCAATGTTACTATCCTTAATGGCATGGGAGTCACAGGGAGAATTGTAGACAAGGTAAGTATTAAYGCTGTTCCAAGTTCTGACTGGAAATTTTGCCAAAACGTTTCCAAAAATACTACTTTAGCTATGAATTTTGTAGGACAAACCTCACTGCTGGGAGCAAGAGATGAAAAATGTTTGATTAAAGGGTACGCCCAGATTGGAGGATTTGTCAACACTGTGTACCAAGTTTTCAAGCAATGCATTGGTTTCAGGGGCGTGTAACATTTTGTCTTTGCAAAACCAGTTTGAACTAAGATGTACTTAGAGATATCTTTGTATTGTCAAATAGCACTTATAATCTTCTGGGTAGACTTTACTATTTTTTTTTTTTTTTGGCCTGGAGCACAAATGATCTCAGTAAGAATCCTGACACTCAATCATGTCTCTTCCATGGGTCACAGTGACTTGAATGTATCAACTTAACTAAGTTCTGCTGCCAGGCCTGTTCTTTCATACAAGTGWTGTTGAGCATGTTGGTTGGCTAGAGACACTTTTAATGAAGTTTAAATGCRAACTAGATTTGAGAATTGATACAAGTTAAAGAAGACACTTGTCCTGTAACTCTAGCCTAATTTCAATATTTCCATGTGACTCCTAAGGTCTGTTTTAGATTGAAGCTTACATTAAAGGGCGTTGAAGCTCTYACCCAGGGTCATTATCTCCTGGTAGTGCACAGAGATGGTGTAATTTGCCTGTCTCTGTCTGTTACACTGTTAGCTCACTTTGTTACCAACGGGAAATCTTGTGTTCTTGTGTTGCACATGACCTCAGAATGWTAAAGTAGGTTGACTCGGGCAGCTTGTTACAGTCCTGCCTCTGAAAAGCCTCTAGTCTGGGTCATTGAGATTGTGTTGATTCACTGACACACCGCAAAACTTTTGGGCTTGGTGGGCATTTTAAAATGTGACATAATCTTCAGAAGAGCTAATATTTATTACTTCATGCAGATAAAGAGGCTATGTGTGCCAAAATTAGCAATTGCAAATACTGTGTTATCTATATTCTGTATTCTTCATTTCACAGCCAGACTGGCAACCCTATCTCCCTCAAAATGGGGATAACATTGAGGTGGCTTTCTCCTATTCCCCTGTCTTGTGGCCTTGGTCTGGATATTTGGCAATTTCCATCTCTGTAGCAAAGAAAGCAGCATCTTGGGAAGGCATTGCTCAGGGTCATGTTATGATCACAGTATCATCCCCTGCAGAAAATGAAGTAAGTTCTGTGCATTTTGGATTTTCTGGCTTAAGAATTATTAAAACTGCTTTCTGATATACAAATACCTTGGTTTTCATGGTTTGCTCTAGCCCTATCATTTGAATCATACGTTAGATTGGGGTCAAGAAATTAAAGAGTACAAATAATGATCTTTATAGTTGAGAGCAAATTGCATACAATTTAGAATCAGGAAACCTCTCTTTTGAGACCAACATCATAATTTCATTTGTTTATTGTGAATTTTAAGTAATGTATTTTGGAAAAGATTGCTTAAATATGTTTCTTCTAGAACCATGCTTAATTGCTCCTGAGAAACTTTTAAGATTCTGAACAGTCGAACCCAGTCACAGTTGTAACATATGTCAAGTATTKTACATTCTGAGCATAATTATAAACTGAGTTCAGAAAGGAAAAGTCATCTCTTTGTCTCTGGAGCTGGTACTGGTGACTAAGTAGATGTGATACCTGCAGTTTTTTGGTATTTTACAATCCATGGTTAACTGATTCCAGTGGGGAAAAAGGATTTCATTGTAGTTTCTTCTGTCCTTCAGTCTAAGAATGGTGCAGAGCAGACTTCTACAGTGAAGCTCCCAATAAAAGTGAAGATTATTCCTACTCCACCTCGTAGTAAGCGAGTCCTKTGGGATCAATATCACAACCTCCGTTATCCTCCAGGATACTTCCCCAGGGATAATTTGAGGATGAAGAATGATCCGTTAGATTGGTATTTATCTCAGGTTCTATTCAATCAGTATTTCTTCATTGTGTGTTAATGTTCTGGTATAACTTTACTGAATGCCATAGTTCTGGCCTTTTTCAGAGAGGCATGGGATTATCTTTTCTAAGAAATCCATGAAAAGTACTTGGACTATGCTTTTGGTGCAGGATTGTTTTTTGTGCTCTATGGTTTAATTCACGTGAAGTGAAAAGCTTTTAAAATGCTCATTTAAGATACTGAGATTTTTGTTTGGCTTTTCTATTCTGACCTAATTGCTCCCTGGAAGTTAAGGGGGACACSTTATTAACTGCTTCAGCATTTGTTTATCAAACAAACTTGACAATTTAAAAGACAAAAAGAGTCCCCTTGTGTGTTGAGGGAGACTTGTCTTCAAAGCAGGGAAAGGCTTGGCTGACTTGTCACCTTTCGTAGATGGAGGGGGGAAGCATCTGTAGGAAAAATCATGCAACAGTGTCTCAAATTGGGTTAATGACCAGGACATAAGCTTTTGGGAAACTTCTTGGAGTAYGTGGCAGGTGGACAGGATTTAAGAAAATCAAAAAAGTGTGGAAATCAGRTTTCTGCGTGTCAGATCTAAATGACTTCAACACTCTTCTCTTTCAAAGGAATGGTGACCATATCCACACAAACTTCAGGGACATGTACCAGCACCTCAGGAGCATGGGGTACTTTGTTGAGGTTCTTGGTTCCCCGTTTACATGTTTTGATGCAAGTCAGTATGGTAAGCATGAATTAATTGCCTTGTTCTTCATACTGTTAACCTTMTTCTGAAGTGACCTTTCGTTGGAAGACAAAAATGTTTTGGGGGTGCAAATAAAAATTCTAATGGTAGTAGAAAAAATATTTTGGCAGTGGGAGTATTTATTATTTATGTGCTGATATTTAGTTGTGTAGAGTGTTGCTGGAGAAGCTTGCTTGGGAGTTTAGTAGAATAAGTACAGTTCTGTCCTTACCACGAAAAAAAGATAGGAAAAGCCAACCTTTAAATGGGTTAAAATACCCCTCTGTATTCAGTCCCACAAAGAACTGTATTTGCCAAAAGATTTTGGCACAGTCAAAATGAAGCATGACCTGATAACAGACGAAAATCAAAGGTGTGCATCCTGGTTCCTTTTTTATGTTTAGTGATCTTTGATTAGATAAAAGAGTGASTAAAGTGTTCATCCAACCGTATGCAATAGCAAAGCAGTGTGTGGCTTGTTTCTGTGTTTATCAGGAAGGAAATTTGATAGGTTGGCCAGGCAGGGTACAGACCAAGCTGTTGTGCTTGCTTGTTCACAGGAGTGGGAGAGGGTTATAGGAAAGTGGCAGTGGCATTTTAGTCAAACGTACAAAATGCAGTTGTAATTTTCAAGGTGTGAATCAAACCACATTTCCRAGTGATTGCTGTCTACCTGGCTGCCAGACTGCAGTAGTGAGGGGAGTGCCTGTTGGAACTGGAGCAGTGGAAAACCTCCTGACCAGGGTGTATCTGCRTTAGCACTAGACCAAATTGCAAAATGTACAACTGACACATTCAGTTCTTGAGACCACACAAGCAGTGGTAATAAGTAACGCCCTGAAAACCTGATGTTCTGCCAAACTAATTTTTAGATACATTGGTAAACTAATTGTCTCTTATTTACTTTGTTAAATATGACTTCATTAGTTGAGCTGCCAGAGCAGGGCACATGGACTGTGCAAAATGTGCACTTGTGTTGACTTCTGCGTGGGTTGTGTGAATAAAGATAATGTTGCAATGACCAACCTGGTGAACTCCTGTTTCTGCTTTCACACACAGGGACTTTATTGATGGTGGACAGTGAGGAAGAATATTTCCCTGAAGAGATCACCAAGTTGAGGAGGGATGTTGATAATGGACTTTCACTAATAGTCTTTAGTGACTGGTACAACACGTCTGTGATGAGAAAAGTCAAGTTTTATGATGAAAACACAAGGTACTGATCGATTTCTCAGTTCTCTAGGAGCTCAAACATTACAGAATTKCCATTTTATGCACATATTACCCCTAAAAATCCCAGATACGGTACACTGTACTTAAGCACTTGGATGTTAGCTGTAAGAAGGGATTACTTGAAGGAAAATGGACCTTAAACTGCAGCTTAAGGAGCAAAAACTACTTATTTTATCTTGATTGTGAAGGCTTCTTTGGYTCTGTATTYTRCTTTTCATGCCAAGAAAARCATATACAGTGAAAAGAAATAAGAAATTGGAGACCAACAAACAAAAGTGGACGTGTTTTTACTTCAGGAGAGCAGAACAGAAAGAAAATGTGTGTTGCAAGTAGTGCCACCACTGCTTCCACCAGCAGTTGTGCACGCATTACTGAAATTATTGCATGGATTGTACAAAGAAAAAATACATGACATTTTGCTTCATTATAAAAAATGAGAAGCAAGGAACATGACTGTCATTTGTACGTCAGCTTAGCCAAACAAAGTGCGTAAGACTGAATTTATTTCTAGTAAGTTGAAGTTTTTCATGCAGCTGAAATGCACTGAGATCTTCACATCAGTATTATTTAACTTTTACTCAGAAGCATTGTTGTCAGAGAGACAGCTGCTCGGATGCCCCTGAAGCTAAATAAGACTTTGATTTCTGTTTCATTATTTAAATGTCTTTGTAACAGTCTGTATGCTGGAAGGCACATGACTGTTATCCAGACTTTAGGAGTATATCATGTATACTAATGAACAGTGTTACACTGTAATTTTTACAGGCAGTGGTGGATGCCTGATACTGGTGGTGCTAATATACCAGCTCTCAATGATCTGCTTTCTGTCTGGAAYATGGCCTTTAGTGATGGGCTCTATGAAGGGGATTTTACCATGGCAAGTCATGAAAGTGAGTACTGGTGTCCATTGCCTACACAGGGTGGGGTGTTTGGAAAACTGTTTTCTGCAAGTTTGAGGTTGAGCAAGAYTTAAGGGAACCAGTCAAATTCAGTGAAAAGAGTCTAGAATGCATACTTAAATGATTGCTTCCTATGTAGACTTTTTCTGTGGTATTTGATTAAGCTTTTCAGTTTAAAAAAATGTAATGTCCACCTCCTAAATGGAAAGATTTGAAAACCGTGTGTAAAAGTGAACCCGTGGAAGCTGTGCTTAGAAATGCCTTCTCTGCAAATACTCACATTGGTCGAAGTGTGAAAATTCAGTGCAGTTTCCTGGGAATGTTTTCTCCTGGTCTTGTTGGGTGGGGAAGGGAGGTAGTGTCATTTTTGGTCTGAAGTGCAGTTTTGTGGTATCTTTCAGTGAATTATGCGTCAGGGTGTAGTATTGCAAAGTTTCCAGAAGATGGCATCGTCATCGCACAGACTTTTAAGGATCAAGGTAGGAGCTTCCTTGCCCTTTTTTTCCCTATTTTGAGTAGAATTTTGGGGTCTGTGCACAAGCAAAGTTGCACAAGCAAAGTTGTAAAGTCTGAAGGTCTAAAACAAATAAATTTAAAACCACACAGATAGAGTATATATTTTTGCATTTTTTTCATTTTGCAGTTGGTGCCTAACAGGCAGCTGCAGTGTGACYTTGTATACAGTTATTAAATGATACAATACCCAAGTGTGTATATGCAGTCCTTTATTGTGATTGTTTTATGGAAATAATTGCATGTGGGTGTGTCTCAGGAAGGGGAGGAATTATTTTATAATTGTGTTACTTGTTGTTCAGGCTTCTCATGAATTTCAAGTGCTGCTGAAATATATCCTCTGATCATTGCCATATTTAGCATGAATGTTGTGGTGATATGAGAATATAAATAAAGAAAATTTTAGTAGACAGAATATCACCAGCTAAACTGTCATAAGGGAAAATTTTAGCCGTACAGGATGCTTGTGGTCTCAGACTTCAGTGATCTGTTCTCTGTGCATTTGCATTCTCTTTTATCATAATATCTTTTCATTTGTGAGGGGGTAATTCATAACTGCAGTGGCAGCAGACAGTTTGAAAACAAAAATCTTGTATTTGATGAGCATTTAGGAAGTGCTGAGCAGGAGCAAATGACCAGAACTCTTAAGCTGTTGCAGGTCAGGTTTGTGCACATGAGTGTAGATGTTTGAGTGTGAGAGCAGAGGTACATGCAGTGCTTTGGATAGAACTCAGAAACTGCCAGAGAAGATCAGTGAGTTTGTTATATTTTTGAATTTCAATGTGCAGCAGAGCTGATTGCCTAGTGGAGAAAATTTTGGAACAGTAGATCTTATCTGTGTGAACTTCCTGGAGGAAAGACAATATCCCTGTGTGCTGATGACTTAGGTATTTCTTTATGTGAGAAAGTGTCAATTTGACAAGTAGCCTGCCAGACCTGCTTTTTTCTGTTGAATCCTTTTCATTGCAATCCATTAAGCAGAGGAGCTCTCTGGTTTGCTTTTGCTATCTAAACTGTCTCAGGTAAAGGGGATAAATTTCTAATACAAATTTGAAATTTGCTTTTTGAAACAGATGTTAAAGGTAGGAGGCCTTTTCTGTAGAATTCTGCATAAGGATGGAAATGACATAAAGAGCAGAACATTTTGATTTTAAACCTTTTGCTGAAGATACTAGAACTTTTCATTCAAGCTTGTTGAGGATAATCCAGGTTGTGGAGTCTTTTCTTTTTCTCCACCAAAGGAAGAAAAAACTATCAGTAGGAAAGTTTACAATCAGGCTCTTGGAGCAGTTTMATTTTTATCATAACATCGTGGGGGTTTTGAAAACTTCTTGCAAAAACGTGTGGCCTGATGTGGGGCAKTGTTGCATTTGTGAGTTTGCAATGYAGGCTGTGTTTATTTATGGGTAGATTGATATTGGTAGTCTGCAGGCTATKGAATATATTTGTGCTTTRCTTTAGGTCTTGAAGTTTTAAAGCAGGAGACTGCTGTAATTGAAAATGTCCCTATTTTGGGGCTTTACCAAGTTCCTCTGGAAGGCGGTGGCAGAATTGTTCTGTACGGAGACTCCAACTGCCTGGATGACAGCCATCGCCAGAAAGGTGTGTGAGCCCTCACAGGGGGAGTTACTGTTCTGCACTGACAGCTGTCCTGTGGGGCTTTTACAGCTCCCCCACTGGAAGCAGCTGGTTTTTAGGGACTAAATATTCCTGGYTGGGGATTAATCTCAATTCTGCAGAGCTCTACTGAAATACTGTGAGGTGCAGTTACAGCAAAAGAGCACCCCGCATTAAATTGCCGTCTGATAGATGAGACTGTTCCCCTCACACAACAGATTTTTCTGTTCCACAAGCTTTGGTTTTTGGGGTGGGTTGTTTYGCATGCGGGGTTTGGTTGGTGGAATTCTTTGCTTCTTTGGGGTGTTTCTGTTTGCAGAAGGCACAAACAGTTACACATTCTTGATCTGAAGTTGTAAAGAGGCCATTAGGAGATCCTTTCACTTTTTGCCTAGTTGCATCTTGGGAATGTTCATATGGAACAATGGATTTTATCTTTTGAGTTTGCTCCTCAGCCTGCCTTGTTCCCTTTCTAATGTTTCCTGTGAAGATTTATGGTAATGTTCAATGTTTCAGTTGTGCATTACTATTTTCAGGTTATTCTACTTTGACACAAACCAGCTGGTGTAAATATGTCAGAAAGTAGRAATTTCCATTTGTTGTCAAAGCATTTGTGGGTAGCAAGTGTGTGAGTTGGGTGTGTGTTTTCTGTGACTCCTGGAGAAGTCATGCTCTTTGCTTACACACACTGTGGTTGATTCTTATAAAATATTTTTTCTAGCAGTTTRTCTGATTTGACTTCATATTTTTAAGAGGTTGCTTGAGTTTCTTATGASATGTAAAACACAAGCTGGTAGATCTGTGACTTGAGGGGTGGAAGATAATCCAATATGTGGTCTTTTTCTGCATTCCTATTGAACAGAACTGAATTTTTCTTTTGTGATGAAAAGTACATCTATATTTTTTTTAAGTATTTTGTTATGCAATCCTTTTTTTTAAAGTATTATTTTATGCAATCCGTCCCTCACCTAATTTATTTAAGTTTAATGGAACATGCTGCCTAAGGGAGCTCTTCATCTGTGGCTCATTCCTTTCTCTACCATACATTTTGGGGTTTTTTAACAGCTCCCTGATTTTTCTTTATCTGCCTTTGGATTGCTTCCTGTGAGTTGCCTTAACACCTACATATTGGTGCCGTAGTACTTGCTGCAGGTTATTGAAAGCACATGACAAAAGGGAAGATAGATAGCTTTAAATTAAGTAGTAGAAAATAATGCTGTGTGACCTCCCTAATACTGTTAAATTCAGAGTGACATCTGAAGCAGGAAAGCGTGGAATGCTTTAAAGAAATCCTTTAAAATTAGCTGTTAAATTGTGAACCAAGAGCTATGYCTCCTGCAGAGACATCGGTGGCTTTAACTGAGGTAAATTCCTAACATTTGTGAATACAAATCCTTAAAATCTGTTTGACCTCTTTGAAAAATCAAAGGTGAGGGTTTAAGGGACACTGGGATTATGAAGATTAATTCCCGTTCCCAGCCAACTGTTCCTGGGGGCAGAAATTCTGAGAAAAATAGTTTGCTGTGTGGTGCAAATAGCTGATAAGGCATTGTCCTACTCCTGCAAAGGGAAGCTTTAGAGTTGTGACATGAATTAGCTGGAGTGCTTGTTCCTTAGGGGTAGGTCTGGATTAAGGCAGTAATAATTCCATAGAAAGTCAAAACGAGGGATTCCTCATTTTTGTGCTTTTGAAGTAGAAAGGAAAAGCATGATCAAGTGTACTGTGGTGTTGATTCCCCTGGTCTGTACCACAGCTGCTGTAGGTTRTGCTTGTACCTTTAGCTGAGATGTAGCCAGACTGTTTCTCCTTTGTTTGTTTGTTTGTTATTTTAAGGTTGAGAAAGCAAATGAGTTATACTCTTGCACTGTAAACAACAACTTATTTTTCCTTGCAAGCTATTTATTTTGTCCTTTCAAAAAAAGAGTTGCTTCTCCATTTCCCTGTTAAAAATTGTACCAGAAATTCAGAGCTTTCTTTGCTTCCACTGAGAAACCTCATCATTTTTGCCAAAACTTGGATGGCCTTGCACAGCCTGGAATTCCTGTATTTGAGACCTGCTTTTTTATGGCCTGCTCCCCAGAAAAGCCTGGTTTGGTACACAAGGGAAGATATTTTAAGGTTGAACAGGTTACTGTTGTGTTTGTGTGTTCCGGGGGAATGTGGGGTGAGTGTTGAAAGTTGCATCTTTCTGAAAGTGAGCCTAGAACTTCAGGAGAAAAGCAAGAGCCAGAAAAATGGATTGTAATTCTAAATGTCATTAAAGCCTTCTTAGCAGAAAGATATCCATTTTAAATGTATAATGCATCTCTTGTTTTGGGGCTTGGGGCTGTGAAATGCACAGATTGCTTTTGGCTCCTGGATTCCCTGCTGCAGTACACATCCTACGGGGTGATGCCGCCCAGTCTCAGCCACTCCGAGAACAGGCAGCGGCCGCCGTCGGGAGCCGGCTTCTCCCTCCCCGAGCGCATGGAAGGTGAGAGCCTCAGTGGCCAGCAGAGCCTGCAGCTGAGGGAGTGTCAGGGCAGGAAGGCTGGGCCWGTAGGGTTAGTTTGTTGTGAGCTCTGCAAATTTCTGCTGTTTTACTGAAAGAGATCACTTATTGCATGGTTTTGTTGTGATAGAGTTGTGATTAGATGAAAGAAACTGTTCTGTTTGGAGAGTGGGAATGTTCAGATGCCTGGGGGGCATTCTCGTTACTAGCTACAGAGCATTATAAATCATTCAGTCTTATCTCACATGCTGCCAGAAAAACTTGGGCTAACTGCTATGGTAGGTGCAGACTATTACTGTTTTGTAAGGTACCCTTAGGTTAATTCTGACTGATAGTTGGCTATGAGTCGTCCTTACTGTAAACAGCCTCTGGGTTTACAGCAGCACCGTTTAGCGCAGAGTTAGTGTTGGTAATTCTTATCTTGCCTGTTTTGGTAACCCAGTCTCTCTCTGCYGTGAATTGTAGGTAACCATTTGCATCGATACTCAAAGGTGCTYGAGGCTCACTTGGGAGACCCTAAACCCCGGTCTCTTCCTGCTTGTCCTCATTTGTCCTGGGCCAAACCACAACCTTTGAATGAAACTGCCCCCAGGTTAGTATATGTCTTCCTCATACAAGAAATCTCACTTTTGAGTTCAACCARAAAATTATTTGTTCCATCTGCTTTTGAAAGGGACAGCTTTAATGCGTTTTCCTAGAGAAATACCAGATTGCAAAGAGGAAATAATGATTAATGCCTCTTCAGTGAATAATTCTGACTCACGTAATAGCTACACTATGAAACTGTGTGAATTAAAAATAACTTCACTAGTCACTGTTGTGACTCAGTGATTCCAACTTTGACTGAACAGTCCTGATGAAAGGCATCATCATTGTGTGCCTTGGAAAGAGTTTTCTGAAGCATCTTCTTGGACAGCTCTGCTAGTGCTGCCTTCTCTTTGTGTTATTTGTCAGCCCCTTGAAGGAAAGTGCTCAGCACTCAGCCCTTGCTTGTCTGCTGGGCTGCCGGTGGTTATTTCTGGGACGCTGTGCAAGAGAGAGAGTTGTTGGTAAATAGTTGCTAATCTAGATTGTGTCCCTGAGGTGTCTGAATTTAAGTTTGGAGACCTGCAAACTGCAGAACCTAAAGAATGGGTGGGGTTTTCCCTTGSGTCCAGACTAGTGAGTTATATGTAGGTTGTATATGTACTGTCACTTTCTCTATATGTTGCTAYAGAACTCCTTGCATTAATGAAGTAAGTAGACAGACACCTCTGTCTTTAAATTTCTTCTAGCAACCTTTGGAAACATCAAAAATTACTSTCAATTGACCTTGATAAAGTGGCACTGCCCAGTTTCCGACAGAACCGACCCCAAGTGAGACCATTGTCTCCTGGAGAAAGCGGAGCATGGGACATTCCTGGTGGTAAGTACTGAAATGTTTGAAAATCGYTGTTTTGGTTTTGCTTTTTGCATGAGCTTTGAAAAAAAACCTGAAACACAGCACAGCCATGTGAGAGGCTACTGTTTATTTTCAGTGAGAAAAAAYGTGGCTGTGTTATAAAACGCTGTCTGATGACGATTGTCCTTGCATATGAATAGTTTGCTCAATAGAAAGTGTGCATGACATACTGGGAGGAAGATCTTGGTGGGTGTATTTTTGATAGCTGAGGTTTGTTTTGGTGTTCAGACTAATGGGTGTTCCATCCTTGGGAACTGTGACCACATTCCCACTGCTAATTAAAATTCCTTCCATGAGTGCACAAAAGAGGCAGAAGAGTTTGTCAGAGTGGTGCCTTGGGCAAGTTGTTAACTAACAGATACTGTGGAGCACTCAAAACAGCTTTCAGGTGGGCAGCTCTCTTGTAGGAGTTGGCACTGCAGGCCCAGCTGGAAGCAGTTGGAAAGCCTCATACATGCTCTTTTGCCAGTCTGAGCTGCTAGACCAAAGACACCTGTAATGAAGGGTTTGTTTTTACAGCTCATCCTCACTATGTGAAACAGTCTCTGGAGCAAGCAAGCATGAAATCACTTTCCTTGTTCCATCAAGATTTGAATTACAGCAATTACTTAGTAGTAAGATTACGGTCAAGTGTTTGCATCTCTCTTCTAATGCAAAACAGAAGATTGTTGTTACAGGGGAAATCTGGGCTTTCATGTGCCCAAATAGGTCAAGGTGGAAAACTGGTGCTTTTCTGTAACATTAGCATCCTGTCTGATTTTCGCTAATCGGTCTGCAGCTGTTAATCTTCCTGTCTGCAGTGTAATCTGATTAATGGCTGCCTGGGCTTTGAACAAGAGTTAGGGCAGATCCTTTTGGTCAATGGCATTAACACCACAAAGACATYGTGGCTCACGTGGGAACTGCTGGCTTCCAAACCTCTTTGCCTTTCTAGGTATAATGCCGGGCCGGTACAAYCAGGATGTGGGACAGACCATTCCCGTCTTTGCCTTTCTCGGTGCCATGGTGGTCCTGGCGTTCTTTGTGGTGCAGATCAACAAAGCRAAGAGCAGGCCAAAGAGACGGAAACCGCGAGTGAAACGACCACAGCTGATGCAGCAGGTTCATCCACCAAAGACACCTTCTGTGTGAAAGCTCTGCCTTGCCAAAGATGACTTCCTTTGACCAGTTGCTTTCCAGGGCCATGGATCGCTCCCAGTGGAGGTGCAGTGATTGTGCACCTGACATCATCTCATAGTCTTTGGTTTGTGGAGAGGAAAAGAAAGAACGTCAGCTGATGGTCTGTACATAAAACTGCAGCTTTAAGCAGCTGAAGCCACCAAAGACTTGAATACTGTTTAAATGGCTGCWTAGTCACTACATATCCCAAGAGGGGGAAAATGGACCTTTTTTTTAAGCTGACCAAACTAAAATTTATTTGTTTAGAGGCTATTTTCTATATTTATTGTTGGGGAGGGTGGGGGAAAAGTCACTTTAAGGGCCTCTGCTAAGGAAAAACAAGTGCATTTTTTTGGATCGAATGCAATTTTCTAGAATGRTATTATGCTGAAGAGTATAACGTGCACCATTAAAGGAGGAAGGGGCTGAGAGAGACCAGTACAAATCAGTGAGGCATACTCCTGCAGTTTATTTTTATAAAGCCAACTACCATGATGTTTTGTAATTTTTGGTCATGATTTCACCATTGTTGGTGAAGCAGATTTTTCAATAAATATGTTATCTATATGAAGCAAAGACAACGTGCTAAGTGGCTCTTCTTTCCACTGGCAGKCAAAGAGAGCAAATTGTTGAGTAGAGAATATTTTCCTGTCTCCTGTGTTCCCACCATGTATTTGTGCTTGCCAGCAGTATCCCAAGTTGCAGACTTCYCTTTGGAGCACTAACTGGGCAGTCGTACAAACAGTGCTTGCTCTGAGGGAGTGCAAAGTCCTGGAAACCTTCAAAACTCAGCAGCACATGAAAAGGAGAGAACTCCCCAAGAGCTGTATAGAAAACTGTCATGGGGGTGGCACCTAACAGCACCATGTGRTGTCACAGAGAGGAAAACCCAGTCTCCTTTGGTTTGTCCTGCTTGAAAGCCTGTGAGTTGTCACTGGCCTAAATAAGGCTATGAGCACAAGTTTCCCCTGTCCCTGCAGTGCTGTTTAATGTCGCTATCATTGAAATAACTTCTCTCTTTTGTAGTGAAATTGTGRAGTTTTCCCTGCCTACTGCTTTCATTGTTGATCGAAATGAGCACCTTTTCTTAGGAGGAACCAGGAGCTGTTGGCTGCCTGTATTTATGAATGGAATGGCACCCTGCACTGGTGAACAGTCCTGGGTGAGTTTGTGGGCAGCTCTGGGCTTGGCTGGAGAAAGAGGAGGCAGGGACAGCCCTGCTGGGCAGTCTGACTGCACCCATTCTCTTAGGGCTGACAGTCAGGGATGGTGGTGGGCTGTGGAATGGGCACTGCAGGAGAGAACTTTGCTCATGTAGTCTGGGAAAAGCCTATCCAGGGAGCCATGGATAGGGTTTGACAGTGCATGAGTGTCCTGCAGAAAAGATTGGGCAAACCAATTTTCCCTGACTTCAGGAGTGGTTGCCTTTTTCCAGCRTTTCTCTTCTGGAAGAGACAATGTCCTGTTGCCATGGCAGAGAAGGCACTGAACTTTAGCTTTGAATCCATTAGTGGAAGTTTGTTAGGGCTGGGAAGATGGTCCTGAGGTTGGGCTGCTTGTGCTATCCCAGTGGGGCTGGAGCCTATTGCTCCTCCCCCTCTGAGCATAGATCCATAATGATAGGGAGGGGGTTTTCAGCATCTCACCTGTGGCAYTGGGATCTCTTGTTGGAACAGCCAGCAGCAGCTGTGCAAGTAAAGGCTGTAAAAAATCTATCAGTAAAGGTGTGAAATCTCAAGGGCCAGACCTCACAAGGTCTGTGTTTTCATTTGTGCAAAACAAGAACTGTGTATTTGCATTTTTGTACCTTCTACAGTCTTCAAAGATAATAATGTGGAAAACATCARCAGCACTTCTTCCACCTGCCAAGGGGACACAGCAGCAGGTAAAGCTGCCAACCCACATGGGCCCTCGGGTTATGGCTTGCAGCCCAGGGATTGGAGGATCCAGATAAATGGGAGAAAGGGAAAAAATAYAAGGGAGGGAGCCCAGAGTCACTGAGCAGAGAAGCAGTCTGGGGCTGCTGTGCTGGTGTGGGAGATGAGCTGCACCCCTTTGGTTTGAGGTTCTTCTGTCAGAGGGAGACTGGGAAGCTTTGGTGCCCCTTCTCAGATCATTGCTAATGAGTGGACTTGCTCCTCATTGCAGCACTAATGAGAGATTATAGCTCCACTGCAGCCTTGAAACCAGAATCAAGCTGTACCAAAGCGCCAGTCCGAATTAAGAGCCTTTCCCAGTGGCTGGTATTTTACAGCCCAGTGGCCAATTTCTAAGTTGTAGSGCCAATTATTTCCGAAGCCTTTGGTGTGCAGCTAATGAAGGCTTGGAAGGGTTTTTTTAAGTGTTTATAAATCCTGTAGTCGGCAGAGATGTAATGGAGGTGGCAGGCACAATTAGCCATCCATAATTCCTCCTAGCAGCTGATTAAAGTCTCTTTATCCGTCTTACCGAGATCAGAAGGGCACATATTTGGGAAATCAAAAATGTATTAGGGGCTGTCAGCCAATGCCAGGCCTGTGTGCTGAGCCCTGGGGTAGTGGCATGTGCCAGGAGCTGCTGTGTCTCCCCCATGGCAAGGATGGCACCTCATCCCTGTGGGGTGCAGCCTCCTCTGTACAGGTTTTCTGCAGCATCAGTCACCCCATCCTGTTGTCCTGGCATCCCCTTTGCCTGCATGGAGCAGGTGGTTGGAATGTGATGGCTCCTGCCCACGGTCTGCCAGAGCAGGAAAGTGCCCGTGGGTTTTTAGCTGCTGTGGGGACATGCAGGGGTGCTGGCCTCATCCTGCACCCAACGAGTACTGAAGGGTGTGCGCTGAGCTGCCTTGCCTCGCCCTTCCATATGCTCCGTAATGCCCCGTGGTGGCATTTGATGGATGGCTGAACACAGCAGGAAGAGGGAGGCCACCTGGCCCTGTGGTGGGAATTCCGTGGGGAGCGAGAGCGTGATCCCCCAGCCCGCGCTGGGAGCTGAAGGGATGCCGTGTTCTGTAGGAGCTTCGGGAGCCGCAGGGGCTGTGAGCCGGACGGGGCTGTCCGTGGGTGAGCTCCTGCCGGGGGGTTCCCACGGCCGCCTCCGTCCCGCCCGTCCCCCGGCGCCCCCTCCCCACCGCCCGCGCTGCCCGTGCCCGCCCCCCGGGCCCTGCGGAGGGGCCGCGCTCCCCTCCCGGACACAGCCCCGAGGGACACGCCGTGATGGAGCGGGCGGCGGCCGAGGSCCGGCCCCTGCTGCCGGCGGCGGGCGGCTCCGCCGGGCTCTCCTCGCCCGGGCTCTCCTCCGCCGGCGCCGTGTTCATCCTGCTCAAGTCTGCGCTGGGCGCGGGGCTGCTGAGCTTCCCCTGGGCTTTCGGCAGGGCCGGCGGGGCCRTCCCCGCCCTCCTGGTGGAGCTGGTAAGAGCGGACTCGGGCCGGGGCACACGGGGGCGAGGGGCTGAGGACAGCGGCAGCCCCAGGGGGAGCCGAGGGGTGCCGGGTGGGGAGAAGGCGGAGGGAGAGGGAATCACCTGCTCCGCTATTCGGGGAGCTGGCGGGAACCCCCTTCACACGGCATCACCATCCCGACGGGGCGAGGGCAGCGGTGCAACAGCCTTAGGTTGTTGTGGTGTCACCTTTAGGGTGTCACCTTTGCTGAAGCCACAGTTGTAGCTGGCTTGTAGCTCAATTCGAGATAAAATGGGTGTCTTCCCCCATACATGCCAAAAAAAACCAAATCTAAACCCAAAGCAGCACATAAGGTTTGTCTCCATCCTTTTGCTGACCTGTGCTACCCAGGGCCACAAGGTAATCTGGCCGGTGGCCTGGTCCCTGGGCTCCCTGGTCCCTGCTGGGTCCCCTTCTGCTCTGGGGGTGACGGAGTGTCGGCGTGATGCCTCTTGCCGGGTGTGTCCCCGCAGGGCTCGCTGGTGTTCCTGGTGAGTGGGCTGGCGGTGCTGGGCTATGCCGCGGCGCTCAGCGCCCAGCCCACCTACCAGGGCGTGGTCCGGGCTGTGTGYGGGGCAGCCGTGGGGAAGCTCTGTGAGGTTTGCTTCCTCCTCAACCTCTTCATGATCTCCGTGGCCCTCCTCAGGGTGGTGGGCGACCAGCTGGAGAAACGTGAGTTGTTTCCTCTCGACGTGTCCCCCAGGGTTTTCCAGAGAAGTCTGAGGATGGGCACATCCTGACCCCCTGCTGCCCCCCACAGTGTGTGACTCCCTGTACCCCAATGGGACACTGAGCGGGGCCCCCCAGCTGCCCCCCTGGTACGTGGACCAGCGCTTCACCCTCTCGGCTCTCTGTGTCCTCGTCATCTTCCCACTCTCTGTTCCCAGGGAGATTGGCTTCCAGAAGTACTCCAGGTACYACCTGGGCTATCCCTGTGGTGGCCCACCCCCAGGCACCCTGTACCCTGGGCCATCTCCTCCCAGGAACCTGTGGAGCCATGGGAGTCCCCCCTTCCTTCCTCCTGGCTGTGTCCTGATTGATGCTCTCCCATCCCTGGCAGCATCCTGGGCACACTGGCTGCCTGCTACCTCACTCTGGTCATCATCCTGAAATACTACCTGCAGGCAGAGAGCCTGAGTTTAACTGAGCCTCCCCAGCCCACCAGGTAGGAGAGTCAGCCCCATGTCCCTCTCACCCTGACCTCCATGACATGAGCAGTGACACGGGGCAGGGCTGGAGGCAGGCCGGGGTGGCCCTGGGCCCTGTGTGTGGTGGGGGCAAGTTGGGGACAGCTCACAGATGGTACAGGATGGTACAGCTACAGGATGGTAGCTCCCAGCCCCAGCTTTCAACCCAGCAATCACCCTTTCTCCCAGAATCTCCCAAGAGATTCCTGTAGTAGCATCCAGGGTGCTCAGTTTATGACACAAAGTTTTCTTCTCCATGAGAGCTTCATGCCCTTTTCTCTGTGCTTCCTCTCCACATGCCACAGGTCCTCCTCCTGGACTTCCATCTTCAGTGTCATTCCCACAATCTGCTTTGGCTTCCAGGTAGGTTACCCTGGCCCCTCTGGCCCCAGCTACCCCGCCATGGGGGCATGGGGATGCCATCCCTTGAAGYGCATGTTGCAGCAGAAGGGGACTGGAGGTGGCTGTGGGGCAGGATGTGAGTGCCTGAGAATGGGGCAGAGCAGGATGGGGCACCTGGAGGTGGGAGGGAGGATGCTGGGGGTGGGGGCTGTCCCCAGCGCTGTCCCCCCTTGCCTTGCAGTGCCAYGAGGCATGTGTGGCCATCTACAGCAGCATGCGCAACCAGAGCTTCTCCCACTGGGTCACCGTTTCTGTGCTCTCCATGCTCATTTGTCTGCTCATCTACTCCCTCACTGGTAACCCCAGCGCCAAACCCTTCACCCCCTTCTTGCCCTGGGGGTCCCCTCTCCCCTCRGCTCATCCATCCTCCTCGGGGTTCCTCTGCCCTGCTCACTGCACGGCTGCCCACCCCCACCTCCCTGTCAGCAGGGCTCTATGGCTACCTGACCTTTGGCAAGGCCGTGGCTTCCGATGTCCTGATGTCCTACCCAGGGAATGACCCCGTTGTCATTGTTGCYCGCCTGCTCTTTGGCGTCTCCATTGTGACCATTTACCCCATTGTGGTGCTGCTGGGCAGGTGAGGGGGGTGGTGACAAGCTGGGTGTCCCCCCAGTGGGTGCAGCTCCTGTGAGTGCCATCAGCCCCGCAATCCTCCCAGATCGGTGGTGAAGGATTTGTGGGCAACCCCGAAGCGCGGGGCCGTGGCAGCRTCTGAGGCACACGAGCGGCGGAGCCGGGTGGCACTGACGGTCACCTGGATGGCTGCCACACTCGGCATCGCCCTGTTCGTCCCTGACATCGGCAAAGTCATCGAACTCATCGGGGGCATCAGCGCCTTCTTCATCTTCATCTTCCCAGGCAAGAGGGAGCACAGGGAGAAAGGGCAGCACTGGGGCGTCACTGGTGCCAGGGGTGGGAGATGTGCTGGGGTGGAAGGTGGCCTGTCCWGGCCCCATTTTGGGGGTGCAGGGCTGTGTTTGTGGGGGATGGTGCAATGGGGCTGGGTGAGGGGTGCTGTGCTGGGGGGCTCAGCTTCTGCACTGCCAGCAGGGCTGTGCCTCGTGTGCATGACTGGGACCCGCAGCCTCGGACCACGCAAAAAGTGAGTGCCTGCGTGTCCAGCAGTGCTGGGGGCAAGGGAAGGGACAGTGACAGGGTGTGGATCCCCAGGCAGATCCCTGGGGGTCACCCTGGTCAAGGTGGGAGCCCTGCAGGGAGGGGGATTTGGGTATGGAGGGAAGTGTTCTACAGGCACTTCCTGCTTGGGAATGTGCTTGGGAATGTGCCTGGATACCAGCGCTGTGTCCAGGCATCAAGGAGCTGCCCAGAGTGACTTTAGGGCCAGAAGAGCTTTGGTGGCACTGCGGTACCCAGTGGGGGCTGGTCAGGTTGGGGGTCAGCAGGGCAGGGTGCCCTGAGACAGGAGACCATCAGGTGTTCCAAAGTGTCTGTTGTGCCAGGGTGCCACGATCCCATCACAGCTCCTGTCTGGAGGGGCTGGGGCACAGCAGCAGCCCGTGTTAGAGGGACCTGACAAGTTTTGGGATGTSTGCTTAGGTGTGTCTGTGGTGTCCCTGGGGGAGCAGCAGAGTGAGGATGGAGGTTATGTGGTGGGGCGTCTTTTCCCCCATGGTGGGGGGAGGGAGCACCCCAAGACCTTGGGGTCTTGGTGAGGAGGGTGTTTTGGGGGGCCCATGGATGTCTGGGGAGCAATGAGGGTGCCTTAAAGAGTGGCAAAGTGCTGGAGGGGCCAAGGCAGAAGGTGAGTAGGGGTACCCAGGGGTGGCYATTTCTGAGGTCAGCTCTACCCCAGCAGCTCCCTCGTGTCTCCGCAGGGCTGCTCTCATCGCCTGGGGTGTTCTCTCCGTTCTGGGCGGTGCCTTTGTCTGCGGGCAGAGCGCTGCCCTGGCCGTGCTGGGGCTGCTGCGCTGAGGGGCACAGATCCCCATCGTGACTCCCACCATGACCCCCCAGCACCCTGCCCTGGACAYGTCCCAGACACAGCCACACCGCTGGATCCCATGGCCGTTTTATTTGGCATCACCGTCCCMGTTGTACAGTGGCTAATAAAGACAGGACAGGGTATTGACAAGGGTCCTGTGCCGCACACCCCGAGGGACCCCCACGCACAGCGGGGTGGGCGTGGGGCTGGCACAGACAGACAGACACACAGACAKAAGTACAGAGCCCAGGRAGGAGGAGAGGCAGCCACCCTCATGCCTGCAAGGCACCAGCTGCAACTGTGCACATGCAAAGGAAACCCCATGGGACCCCCACGCCTGAGAAGGACTAAGGGGTGCCTTAGGAGCAGGGAAACCCCCCTCTGCCACCACCCTGGCTCCCCCTGGGACAGGGGTCCCCATCCCTGCACCAGGCACAGCCTCAACCCTCCCAGTCTCCTCCCTGGGTGGCCCCTGGGGACTAGCACAGACCCCCAACCCACTCACTGCTTTCCGGGGGGCTCCAGCCTCCCATCCCCTCCCATCCCTGCTTCCTGGTGCCTGCCCATACCCACTGCCCCCACTCCCTGCCTACCTGTGTCTGGATCCCCTCCCCAAACCCTGGCAGTCCTTCCCCCGAGACCCCCCCATGCCAGGGAGAGATGACCCAGGTGATGGGGTAGCAGAGGGAGGACTCTGTGGGATGGGGTACACACACGGGGGTTTCCTTCACTGCAGCCAGGTCACACCGACACCTCCCCCAGCCATGCAGGGGGTCACGGCCACCCCGCAGAGGGGACAGGGGCTGCGGCCCCCCAGCACTGACGGTCACTCTCGGCTCAGGGTACACCAGGCAGCTGCAGGGGAACATCACCAGAGGGTCAGCCCTGCCCAGCCCCACATCACCCTGACCCCCACCCCGGCCCAGCCAGCTCAGCCCATGCTGTCCTCCACACCATGCCACCTGCCCACCCTCGCTCCCCAACAACTGCAGAGCTGCTGGCTTCCCAGGGGTCCCTGTCCCCCACCCTGTGGGGTGCTGCTCTCCTACCTGGCACGGCCACGCTGGAGATGGCCTCGGGCTGGCTCAGCGTGTCCACCTTGACGTGCTGGAAGCTCTTGCTGGTGGCACTCTGCAGGTGCCTGTGCCCAGATGGGAGAAAGTGGGTGACACCCAGCCCCCCCGAAACACCATCCCAGTCCCCACACCACCACGGACTCTGGCAGGGGCTCGCTGCCAGCAATCCTGCTCATTTGCCCTTGGGCAGAACACTCTGCCCTGGTGCAGGACAGTGGCACCTCCCACCACCCCTTTCAAAGGCATCACCAGGTGGGARGTGGAGAGACCCACCCCAAGCCCCCTGTCCTGTTTATAGGGACAGCCCTAGGACAGACAGACAGACAGACAGCTCTTCAGTCATGCCATCAGATGAGACAGAGCTCGGGGCTCAGCTGCTCTAACAACCCTTCAAACCCACACATGCCMAAACAGGGTGGTTTTTTCACCCCCTCCCCTACCTCTTCCAGTCTTCCTCGGTCTCCCAGAACTCATACACGATGAAGGTGACCCCATCAGGCAGCTTCACTGCGGTGACACTGCCAGGAACAGGGAGAGGGGGTGAGCCCCAGCATGGGGCATCCCTCCCCCCTCTGCAGCCACAGGTGTGCTCTGGGGTGGGCTACTGAGGGGGGACCCAGCCCCAGCAGCCCAGGTAGGGGTACCCCCCCACCCCATCCCAGCACTCCCCAGCCCATGCAAAAGGGTTGGTGGTGGCTGAGCATAGCTAGATCCCAAACCCTGGCTGTTTTGCCTCAGCCCTTGTTCCTTGCTCCAGCCCACCCCAAGCCCCCCATGGCCAAGCCCCTCAGGATGCCGATGGTACCCACTGGAAGCAGTCCCGCTCCCCAGCCACGCTCTTCAGGTACTGCTTCAGGGAGCTGCAGAACTCGCCCAGGTGCTTGTGGGACACCGTCATCTCCTTCCGCACCAGGAGCAGGTACTGCCAGGCCCCAAAACACAGCGACACGTGAGAACCCACAAACACAGTGACCCCCCAGAGTGGCTCTGTGCTGCCCCACGGCTGGTGGTCAGCACACTCACCGTGCAAGCCGTGCTCTCGCTGTCCGACAGCCGCTGGTGCAGGTCAAACCAGAGGGTCTGGGAGAAGGRGAAGAAGCAGCAGAGCGGGGGTAGATTGGCTGAGGCTGTGTCCCCCTCYCTGCCTGGTGGGTTTCTGTCCCCTCTATTTGCAATGACTGTGCCCCTTTCTSTGCAGGGAAGGGCCTCCCAAGAGCTGCTTGCACCTTTGTGCCCTCCAGCCAGGACCCTCTGCAGAAGCTCTCTGTGCTCCCAGAGCAGCTGACATCCCCAACACCGTGTCCTCATCCTGCCCTGAAACAGGGCAAGGCCCCTGAATTGTCCCTGGGATCCAGGACAGCCCCACGCAGGCAAAYGCTGGCCCTTACCTTGTCCTCCAGCTTGCCAATCAGCTTGGCCAGCCTGTTGATCTGGCCCTCCAGCCCCTCTGCCTTGGYGTCGGGGGAACCTGCGCAGAGCCAGGAGATGGGACAGAGTGAGGGGCACCTGCAGGCACCCCCGAGAGCCCCGTGCTGGCACCTGGCTRCTCCAAGCCAGCCCAGCAGCCAGCACTTACCAGCCTGGAAGCTCTTCCCCTGCTCCCTGGGGACCATCCAGGTGCTGGGGGAGTAGCTGGGCACGGGGTTGTCGTACCAGGGGTCACTCATGCTGTGACCATCCTTGCTGGGGTGGTGCCTGCAACCAGAGAGTGCACAGAGGGTCAGGACAGCAGAGCTGGGCACGCACAGAGTGGCATCAGCCAGCCCTGGGCGAGGAGCCAGCCCTGGGCATCCTTTGTGCAGCTCTGGCAGCCCCCTTGGAGGGCAGCAGTGCCCACACTGTGCCAAGGCAGCGCAGGGCCCCTTCCTGCACCCTTCTTTGGCACCAGCCAGTGTGGGGAGTGGGTCAGAGGCAGAGGAGCACCTGAGGGCTCTTCTCATCACTTTCTCTCCTGCTTATGGAACAGCACAGCCCCCCATATGGCACCACCAGCAGCCCTCAAGGGCTTCTTCTGTCCYAGGCAGACACATGCAGCAATGGAGCATTCGGGCCCCTGTAGCAGTGCCCAGCTGGCTGGCTGCACCTTGCTGGGGTTTGTTTTGCAGTCCAATGGCTTTGGTGACTTTCAGACAAGAAAAGGAGCTGTCACATAGGCTGCCCCATGCCCGAACCGCTGCCTGTGAGCAGGGGCAGAGATGCCTGGCTGTGTTCCCACTAACAGACTGCAGTTCTCCTGGAGAGTGGCAACACACCCGCTGTAGCATTTCCTCCACCCTGCTTGCTTTCTCTGGGTCTACCAAGCCTATGGGCCTGGAGGCTACTGAAAACTAAAAAAACCTGTCCTTAAACACTTCCACAGATGSAGCATCCATAACCCAGCATCCAGCCCCAGATCCTCAGTATTCCTCCCAGGATCTCATTTATTTGCAAGCCAGAGGGACTGCTAAGCCCTGCCATCCTCACGAGGGCTTGCAGCTGCCATCCAGTGTGTGACATGGGAATGGGTTTGGGGAAGAATGACCCTCTCCTTCTCGCCAACAGGAAGCCTGAGCCACATGGGGAGAGGCTGAGCAGCTCAGGGTGTTTCCTTCCAGCGAGAGCAGCTTTGTGCCAGCTGACTGCTGACAGATTTGCCTGGGAGCCCTGGCTCCTCTTGGTATCTTTTTTTCAGTCAAGCAGCTCCCAGCTGGAGACAACATGCTGAGTGCCCTGKAGCCAATGGGCACCACACCAGCCAGCATCTCCCTGCCCTCCTGTCCCTCCCCTGGCACCTGGATCCTSCAGAGCACAGCCCCAGGTGCTCCTTCCCCAGCTACCCTGAATATCAGCCAGCGTGGGCTCCACTGTACACAGGAACACAGTGTGCGGATCTGGTCCCAAAGAACATCTCCAAGATAAGGAAGCAAGAACAACAATAAAGGTGGCAGGARCATCCCTTTGCTACAGGTTATGTAATTATCCCGCTGCTGGTCCTGGATAATCTCCTGTCAATAGACAGGAAATTAGGCAAAAACAGACAGATATTTATTTTAATCACAGTTTAATGAGCTGTCTCAAGCTAGGACCTCTGCCTTTGCACTTTGTTCTACAGCCCTTTATTTTGGTGCTTTTTAGGCCACTTCTTTGTCTTCATGCAGATGCAGGAGATAATTTTTTTTGTGGGATTTATTTTTCTTTTTAGCTATTGTCTTGGTGAGAAAACAGCTACAATACTCCCCATTATGRTCTGGGCCCACACATCAGCAAATGAAAGTCAGCAAAGTCTTTCATGGGCTCCAATTGCTCTGCCTGGTGTTGGGGTTGTTTCCTTTTCATTGCTTCCCAGGAGCTCCTACTTGTTTTTGTACATGGTTTGCCACAAAATAAAGAGAAGAAAGAGATGTGAGATGGTGAAACCCACAGCATTGCTCCTAGAAAAGCTGGTGAGATGGTGGCAGGGCTGCTCAGTCTCACCGTGTGCCAGGGAGTGGTGTCTTCGGAGGGAGCTGGGATTCTCACTCTCTGAGGTCCATGGGCCCCTCTGCCCACCCATGGCTTGGGRAAGCCAAAACATCCCCCTACAAGCATCCTGAGGCTTCCTGGCATGAAGGAAGGGCAGGAGAGGGGTTTGTTCCTCAAACATCTGACAAACGGTTTCCATAGCACCCTGTTCTGGTTACAGCTGGTGGCACTCTGGGCAGGTGAGTGACACTGACACTGAGGGGCTGTGCTGAGCTTTAACCTATGCTGCTGGGAACTCCTCATAATTTAACCCTGGCAGCACTGGGGAAACCTTCTGCAAGGCCCAACCTTAGCTGGGTGGCTGGGATGGGGACAGTGCCTCATGACACCAGAGGACAGTGCCACCTATCCTCAGTGCACAAGCCCCATTTTCCTCTGGATGATTGCACTCGCTGATTGTCCCTTGCTCCAGCAGGAGGGACAGCATCCCTGGCACGGGAAGCTGCCCCGGTGGCTGTCCCCAGCACACCTCAGGCACAGCCACCTCTCTGCCCTGSGTGGGACCGGTGGGTCCCTGTGCACCCAGCGGTGCTGTCCCTTGTTTGCATCCCCCCACACYGCTCGTGTTATGGGGGACCCTGGGGTCTGCAGGACAGTAAGGAACAGGGCAGGAGRGAGAGGTGGAGAAAAGCCCTCAGAGTTCAGGGAATGAGAAGGGAGGCAAGCAGAAAGGTAGCCAGTGGCCCAGCTCCCCTTTGCTCCTGCACGGTGACTGCTGCACCTCCCTCACCCCATGAAAGCATCCTCCTCCTCCTCCTCCTCCTCCTCCTCCTCCTCCTCCTCCCCGTCCTCCCTCCTGCACCAGGGGAGCTGGCAGCGCCGCAGACCTGGCGGGGTTGGTTTGCTCATCAATGGCATCCACAGCACTCTCCACGGAGCTGAGCAGGGACTGGGTCTGGTTGGCCGTCTCCTTCAGCAGGAAGCGRGTCACGAACTGGTCCACGTTGCTGCCGCTCTCGTACACCTGCAGAGGCACAGGGT